CTCCTCGTTCCCCCCGACAGAGGCTCCTCTGCAGACCCTCCACCTGGACGTGTGGGGCCCAGCCCGCGTTCGTGGTCAGGGCGGTGAGCGGTACTTTTTGCTGGTCGTCGACGACTACTCGCGTTACACCACGGTCTTCCCCTTGCGCACCAAGGGTGAGGTCCCTGCTGTTCTGATCCCTTGGATCCGCACAGTTCGTCTCCAGCTCCGCCGCCGTTTCCGGACGGATCTTCCTGTCCTGCGTCTGCACTCTGACAGAGGTGGTGAGTTTTCCTCCGACCTCTTGAGGACCTTCTGTCAGGCGGAGGGCATCGAGCAGACCTTCACGCTTCCGGACTCCCCACAGCAGAATGGGGTTGCTGAGCGCCGCATTGGCCTGGTCATGGAGGTCGCTCGTACCTCCTTGGTCCACGCGGCGGCTCCCCATTTTCTGTGGCCGTTTGCTGTCCGGTACGCCGCGCATCAGCTCAACCTCTGGCCCCGTGTCTCCTTGCCGGAGACCTCGCCCACACTGCGTTGGACGGGGGAGGTTGGCGATGCGTCGCGCTTCCGGGTGTGGGGTGCTCGTGCCCTTGTCCGCGATACGTCCGCGGACAAGCTCTCCTCCCGCACGCTTCCCTGTGTCTTCCTTGGCTTTGTCCCTGACGCGCCTGGCTGGCAGTTTTACCACCCCACCTCGCGCCGGGTCTTCGCCTCTCAGGACGTCACCTTTGACGAGTCGGTCCCTTTTTACCGTCTCTTCCCCTACCGCACTGCCCCTCTCCCTCCCCCGCCGCTTTTCCTCGCTCCTGGTCCCCCTCCGGTAGACCCCCTTCCCCCTCAGGGTCCTGCTCCTTCCGGTGTCTCTCAGGTAGACCCTCCTCCCGTCGCTGAGCCTGTCGAGGTCACAGGTGACTCAGGTGCTGCTGCAGGTGGTGCTGCTGGGAGTGCTGAGCCTGGGGGTGCTGAGCCTGCGGGTGCTGGGCCTGGGAGTGCTGGGGCTGCGGGTGCTGGGACTGCGGGTGCTGGAGCTGAGGGTACTGTGCCTGAGAGTTCGGCGCCTGGGGGTGCTGAGCCTGGGGGTGCTGCGACTGGGGGTGCTGAGCCTGGGGGTGCTGCGACTGGGGGTGCTGAGCCTGGGGGTGCTGCGCCTGAGGGTACTGAGCCTGGGGGTGCTGCTACTGAGCCTACGGAGCCTGGGGTTGCTGCGTCTGGGGGTGCTCCGGTTCGGGGTGCTGAGCAGTCTCTCACACCGCAGCAGCTTCGTGACTGGTACGTCCGGCGCTTTCACCGTCCTCGTGGCTCTGCTGGAGTTGGGGGTGCTGGAGCTGCTCGTCCTGGAGGTGCTCGTACTGGGGGTACTGGAGCTGCCGGGACTGGTTGTTCTGGGAGCACTGAGACTGGAGCTGCTGGAGCTGGGGACTCTGGAGCTGGCGGTGCTAGCGGAGTTGGAGCTGCCGGCTCTGGGGGTGCTCTTCCTGGCGGTACTGGAGCTGCTGGAGCTGACGACACTGGAGCTAACGGTTCTGGACACGGTGGTCCTACTGGTTCTGGAGGTGCTGGCGGGGAGAGGTCTGACGCTGCTGGGGCCTCTGGTGCTGACGTCGCCGACTCGGGGGGTGCTGCGGCGGAGGGTGCTGGTCCTGGTGCTTCTGGTGCTGCGGGTGCTGGAGGTGCTGGCGGAGCTCCGCCGTCGCGCCTGTTCTTCGCTCCTCCATCGCCGTCGGCTTTGCCGCCGCCTGACACGGTGCTTCGCCAGGTTCTTTCCCTCCCGTCTTCCACTGGCCTTCCCCTCCAGCCTGGCTCCCCCCTCCCTGCTCCTGTGCCTTACACTGCACAGCCGGACTCGCTTACGGAGCGTCGTGAGCCTGCGTCTCGTCCTGCCTCGCCTGTTCGCGCTGCTCGCACTGCTCGCACTGTTCCCCCTGGCCGTCGTGTCGCGCGTCCGCGTCCTCCTCCTGTTCCTGGCACGCACATTATGGCACTTCGTCCTTCCACTGGTCCACAGCGTGTCCCCCTACCGTCTCCTCCTGCGTCTTCTCTTCCTGACGTTTCCGAACCTGAGTCTGACAGTGTTCGTGCTGCCCACCCTACTGTTACGCGTCTTCTCGCCACTGTTGTCACTGACCCGTCGTTTGAGTCTTCTACTACGTCTGCCCTGGTCGCTGAGCTTGTCGACTTTGCTGCTGCCTGTCGCCTAGACTACGCCACCAGTCTTGTTGCTGAGTCTGAGTCTGTCTGTCCTCCGTCCGTCGGGGGTGAGTGTGCTCTTGGCACGGACGTCCTTGAGGACAGGCAGGAGGACTTTGACTCTCTTGCGGCTGCTGTACCTCATCTCGTGGCCTGGTTGCTTGCCCCTGAGGGAGACCCGGATGCACCAGACATCCCCACTCCGCGCACTTACGCAGAGGCGATCTCGGGTCCCTACTCCTCTCAGTGGCAGACAGCCATGGACGCAGAGATGGCATCCTGGAAGTCTACAGGCACCTACGTCGACGAGGTTCCCCCTCCTGGGGCGAACATCGTCGATGGCATGTGGATTTTCAGGGTGAAGCGGCCGCCAGGTTCTCCACCTGTCTTCAAGGCTCGTTACGTTGCTAGAGGCTTCAGTCAGCGTCAGGGGGTCGACTTCTTCCAGACCTTCTCCCCCACCCCGAAGATGACCACTCTTCGGGTTCTGCTGCACGTTGCTGCTCAGCGTGACTACGAGCTTCACTCTCTTGACTTCAGCACAGCGTTCCTGCAGGGCAGCCTGCACGAGGAGATCTGGCTGCGCCGCCCTCCTGGCTTTACTGGGTCGTTTCCTCCTGGTACCCAGTGGAGCCTCCGCCGGCCAGTCTACGGTCTCCGCCAGGCGCCACGTGAGTGGCACGACACACTGAGGACTACACTTGCGGCTCTTGGGTTCGCGCCGTCTACTGCTGACCCGTCGCTGTTTCTGCGCACAGACACGTCGCTGCCGCCGTTCTACATTCTCGTGTACGTCGACGACTTGGTCTTTGCTACTGCTGACACTGAGGCACTCGCTCGTGTGAAGTCGGAGCTGCAGAAGAGACACATCTGCACTGACCTGGGTGAGCTGCGTAGCTACCTTGGCTTGCAGATCACCCGGGACAGAGCACGCCGCACCATTACCCTGACTCAGTCACACATGGTGCAGCAGGTCCTTCAGCGCTTCGGCTTCCAGTTCTCCTCACCACAGGCCACACCTCTGGCTACCAGTCACTCGCTCTGAGCTCCACCTTCGGACGAGTCCGTAGAGCCGAGTGGCCCGTACCCAGAGCTTGTAGGCTGCCTCATGTACCTGATGACTTGCACGCGACCTGACCTCGCGTACCCTCTTAGCATCCTTGCTCGTTACGTTGCGCCTGGGAGACACAGGCGAGAGCACTAGGAGGCTGCTAAGAGGGTGCTGCGTTACTTGTGCAGCACATCAGGCATGGGGCTGGTGCTTGGAGGACGCGACAGAGTTGTCCTCACTGGTCACTCAGACGCTTCTTGGGTGGACGACCTGGCTACGCAGCGGTCATCACAGGGTTACACCTTCAGCCTTGGCTCTGGTTCTGTCTCGTGGCGGTCCACCCGCTCTTCTTCTGTTCTCGGCTCTAGTTGTGAGGCTGAGATCTACGCCACAGCCATGGCTGCACAGGAGCTACGCTGGCTCACCTACCTGCTGACTGACTTGGGAGAGCGGCCTAGTTCTCCTCCAGTTCTGTACGGCGACAACAAGGCGGCCCTTGCCTTGTGTCAAGAGCACAGACTGGAGCACAGGACGAAGCACATTGCTCTTCGTTACTTTCTTGCTCGAGAGCTGCAGCAGCGAGGTCAGCTTCGGCTTGTGTACGTGGACTCGAAGGCCAACACTGCTGATATCTTCACCAAGGCGCTCCCGCCTAGTGATCATCAGCGGCACTGTACTTCCTTAGGCCTTGTGTCCACATTCCCTCATTTGCTTACTGCTTGACTTTCTTTGTACTGTCCTTTATATATATCTTGTTGCTTGCTTGCTAGGTCTTGATCACTGTGTTGCTTGTCTTGTACTATATCTAGCACTGCATGTGAACTGGCCTTGTGGCCTTTGCTTGTGCTCGGAGTGTGGTGACGTTGTGATCCACCCTGGGCTTGCTTTGCTTTGCTGGACTGGTCTTGCGACCCTTTGTTCTCCCCCACTTTGCCTATGGGGGTGTGTTAAACTGTGTTATGTTGGTAGGCTGTAGTGGGGTAGCCAATATGGGGTACAACCCCAACTAGGGTTTGCTACTTGTACCCAACTCTTCCATTCAATGCATTATTCTTGCCTAGTCTCGTTGATACCTAATGCGGCTCTCGCGCCTCATGCACCCATCCCAAGCCATCCCGCCTGCTAATCCACTTGGTGATTTCATTCTAACGATCGTATGCCAGTCACGAGGCTTCATTGGCAATCTTGGCCTCTCGTGTGCTCTCGCGGACAATCGCGAACGTGAAAAGCAGCTCTTGACAATAATTCTAGAGTAGTCGCTAACTCCGTCATACAAAAATCACTTGCATGCAATGTCGCTCTGTTATCCACACGTCAATCACGCGGCATCATCGGGAGACGTCAACATCCACGCCCTCGGCAGCTAACATCAACCACCAGTTTCAACCACACTCTTCTGCTGCGCCAACAACCAGGGACATCTACATAAATGGAACGAGCAACCGTCATACACAACATTCCGAAACCCACCGGCATGGCGATCGCATCGCAACCAACCAACGCCACCTCTCTCAGCAATTCGTCGAGGCCATCAACCTTAACAAGACTTAGCACGCCTTCACCGCTCCTAACTGCACATGTCTCAGTAAACCCAACTGTAATGAAGCACGTTGCCATTGCAAGAGCAGAAAGCAAGCTTTCTCAATTTAAGGTAGGCCCTATTTCCTTGCCCCAACAGACAAATGCCACCAGTTAATTATATTCATACACTGCACATTCAAACACATCACATCATACAGTAGCATCAACCTCTCAAGCCTAGCGCAGCCAATTCTTGGACTCACTGCTTCTTCCCACTTCTCCCTAAACTGAACCCCGAAGCCGAGGAAGATTTGGAAGAGCTGCTTGACGAGACGGGCGCAGGGTCTGAGGATCGAACGGCCACCCCTACCACATGACGGTCCACATTCGGCAGCACATAATCATAATTCACCTGCTCGTATAGGGGCAGCACCGCCTGGCATGGAAAGACCCGGGAAGATGGGGAACAAGGGAGTTGAATGAGGTGTTGCTGTGCAGGTGGAAAAGGGTTCTGGCGTTGGACTTAAGAGTTTGGATGGAGAGGTGGTGGGTGTGGTGTGTATTGGTGGATGGAAGTGTGGAATGGGCGAGAAAGTGCGGCTGTGGTCTGAATGACAGCATGGTAGTTGTATGGGCCGGTAAAAGGTCGCCGGGCGGGCAGGCAGGCAGGCAGGAATTTGGGAGAAGAAGAGGACTGCAGTGTAGCAGATGATTTCTGGAGCGTATCTGAGAACTCATGCCGGGTGTGCCGTGCATGCATGCAAAGAATTGATGGCAGCACAGCACAGAAACACTAAGGGGGGGCAGAGAGCACTCACATCGGGGAGGAAGGAGAAGGACGGGTGCGACGTGTCCTTGACTTCTGGGCTGCCACTCCCACATGCCTCCACAAATATCAGCGGCTGATGAGAGGGCAAGGGGGAGGGAGGAAGTGTGGAAGTGAGTGAGGTGACTTTTGAGTCAACTCAAAAGACTTCTGGGCTGCCACTCCCACATGCCTACACAAATATCAGCGGCTGTCACCAGGTCAGCACGGGGCAGGGCGGAAGGGTGGATGTGGAAGAGGAGTGGCACACGAGGGGGGAAATGAGGGGGGAAATGACGGGGGAAGTGGGGAGGGGAGTGGGGTGGGGAGGGAAGGGGAAGAAAGAACTGGAAACGAGAGGGTGTGGTAAGGTGGTTAGTGAGGAGGGGTATGAATAGGTGCAGGAGGGTTCAGTTGTGAAGTAGGAAAATGAGTCAGTGGTGGTATGCAGTGCCGTGGATACATGCAGCCGTGCACAACCACAATGGTAATCTTGTGGGGCAGTGCAACAGCGCATGCAACAGCAAATGCAGCAGCACCTGCAGCAGCACATGCAACGACACATGCAAGATGAGCAACGAATGTGTCTTGCACAGCGGAAGTGCAGGTGGGATGGTGGAAGCAAGGCATGGCTGGAGCGCGTACTCTGCTTGGCTTGAGGACCCGAGCGATGCCTGCTGCAGCCGCGGTGGCCTCTGAGGGCGTGAGACGCTTAAAGCCATCCACTGTGATCTGATCATGTTGACATTGTGTTTAGAAGCGCACAGGAGCGCACAGGAGCGCAGAGGAGTGCAGACGAGAGCACAGGAGCGCAGAGGAGCGCACAGGAGCGCGTGCAGGAACGCAGACAGGAGGAAAGATAGACATGCAGGCACAGGAACTCGGGCAGAAAAGTGAACCGCAATTCACCCCATGACAAGCATACACAGCAGCATGCACACACACAGAAGAAGGCAGGTGAGGGAGGGGGAAGTGACACAGTGGTAAGCAGGTGGCAGAGAGCAGAGAGCAGAGAGCAGAGAGCAGATGGACGGACACGGACCGAGTTGCAGTGCTTACCACGGCGTCGACCGAGGCCGATTCAATGCGGTTGAGTGCGGTGAGGCCATCTGGCAGCACGTCAATGGGCACACCTTCTGACAAGGCTGTGACAGGGACAGGAACAGGACGCGGGGTGAAGGGGGTCAGTCAGGGGCACTTTTTGAGTTTTGAGTTGTTTTGAGACGCCTCAAAACAAGGCTGTGACAGGGACAGAACGCGGGGTGAAGGGAGTCAGTCAGAGCAGAGGCACTATTTGAGTTGCCTCACAATTTCTCAAAAGTATACCAATTGTTCCGCACCCCTTGCCCCCTTCACCTTGACTGCATGACTGACTGCATGGCCAGCGGGGGGACCCATACCCCCTCCCATCACACCTCCCCACCTTGCTGTCCCTCTCCCCCCACTCCCTCCCCCTTCTCCCGCCTCTCCCCCTCCCACCCTCCTCGCCTCCCTTCACTCCGCGCTCACCCTGCTGCTTCAGCAGGCTGGGCTGCACGTCTGACTGCATGGCCAGCAGCTTGCCCACATCACCAACCAGGACTCATGCGGAGAACAGTTGCTCCTTGCCCTCACCCATCTCCCTCCTCTCTCCCCCAGTCCCCACCCTCTCCTCTTCCGCGCTCACCCTGCTGCTTGAGCAGGCTGGGTTGCACGTCGGCCTGCATGGCCAGAAGCTTGCTGAGGTCGTTAGGCACGTAGTAGAGGTTCCTGCCGCTGCCCGCGCGGAAATCCAGCACTACCGCGCCGCCACGTGGCACGTGCCGGCCCACAAAACGCGCCACTAAGAACTGGAACAGGGGGGTGGGGGGGGGGGAAGGGGGTGGGGGAGGGGAGGGGAGGGGAGAGGTCTAGTTTTGAGGCGCCTCAAAACTACACGTGCCGGCCCACGAAACGCGCCACTAGGAAATGGAACAGGGAGGGGGGGGGGGGAGTGGTGGTGGGGAGGCGGCGGAGGGAAAGGGGAAGGCGATGGACAGCAGTCTGACAAACTCGTGGAGGGGGGAGAGGGGGGACGGGGGGAGGGGGGCCGGGGAGACTGGAGGAAGGGAGAGGGAGAGTTGGGGTGTGATGTGAGGATGGTGGCGGACAAGGATGCAGCACAACGAAATGCAGCGATCATGAGTGCATGCAGCACAACGAAATGCAGCGATCATGAGTGCATGCAGCACAACGAAATGCAGCGATCATGAGTGCATGCAGCAGCCCATGGTGATGATGGTTTCGCTGGCTAGCATGCATACATGCATATGCATGCCTTTGAATAGGGGTGATCATGCAAGCATGGTGCTGTGCGGTGATGCAAGGTGCTGTGTGGTGGTGCATGCACATGGGCTTTAAGATGTGTGCACTTGTGGCCATGCCACGTTGGAAAGACTCCCAAACCGCCACCTCGCAACCTGGCCGAAACTCCTCCCGCACCTCCTGCCGAACCTCCTCCCGTACTTCCTCCCGTACCTCCAGCCGTGCCTTCACTTCACCTAGTATCCATTCATTTCCCAACCCCTTTCCACCTGCGCCAGCACACACATGGCCGCGTCGAACCATGAATGACCGCACTGGACCGCACCTGCAGTCGAAAGTGCGCGTAAGCCTTCACTGCCGCGAACACCGCCCCCGCGCCAGCCACCGCCCCCACTGCGACCACGACCGCGGAAATGCCTTCCGCGCCGCCCGCTTCCGCCGCCCCCGCAGCATCCTCCGCGATGTCCGCAAGCGCGGGTAGGGCGGGAAGCAGCGCGGCGGAGAGTGCCGCTAATGGGGCGCGCAGAGCGGGGGGGGGGCGGAGCGGAGAGGGGGAAGGGGACGCTTCGCGAGGCTGGCACTGGCGCAAAGGGGAGTCGGGGGAAGATTTGGCGGAGACCGCGGGGGCTGTCAGGGGGGCGTTAACGTGCAATGTCGCGACAGCGGCGGAGCGATGGCGGAGGACGGCGGGAGAAGCGGATGGGGCAACGCGGGCCGGAGAAAGAGCAAGGGAGAGAGAAGCCATCGGCGCGTGGGGGTTTTGTGGCACGGAGTGCGCGGAAGCGCGTCGCGATATCCCCGACTTCGGCGGGAACGGCGTTATTGGGTGAGCGAGCAAAGGAAGGAGAGTGGCAGCAAGGGTGCAGATGCGATTTGGCTTGGCGCGCAGTGAATGTGAAGGGGATTGGTTCGGATTGGATTGTGGATAGAAAAAGGGGGCAAATGTGGTTCGTCTTATATAGAGTATACCCGGGCGGGGAGAATCTGTTCGAATTTGCTTCTAGAAGAACACGCATTTCGAATTTGTTTCGAATTTGTTGAAGACAAGTTTGGCCATACATAAGTGGTCCAGAAATTTAAAAGCAAGACACACTGGACCAAGAAATACTACGTTATCGATTATGAAATGTATTACAAGACGAGGGCTTGATAGCTCACTATTATCCCTCTACTACAGATATGCAAAACAACCAGATTAGAAAGCATTAGAGTTAAAAAGAAAGGATTAGCTTGGTAAAGGCAGAAGCTAGTAAAAGTACCGGTAGACCAGCACAACAAACCTAACCAGAGCAATTCCGTTCCAAGCCAATGGAACAGAATCAAATCAAAACAAGTCCGTGCCCTGCCCACACACACAGCCCCAAAGACAGCCACCATGCCACATTCAGCCACACCGCACCGCACTAAACCACACCAGCACCCATAACCTATCATGGGTCAACCAGGAGCCATGCACCCCATCTGCCATGTCACAGTCAGGTAGAGGTAGCCAATCCAGTTGTCGCCATTACCAAAACAGGAGGTTAGCCTTGTGAACAAAGCTTCGCCTTGCTTTGCTCCCGCCAGTGCAGTTCAGAGACATTCAGTTGTGCTGACGGTTCCACAGATGCGGATGCCAGCGCAGAGCTACCTGCCGAAACAGCCCCACGTGAGTGTGGGACGGGACGGCATTTGGTACACACATTGAACAACCAATATCCGAGTGTCAGGGTGCCTTGGAAACTTCAGTCTGACGGCGTAGGGCGTGCTTCCACAGTGATAGAGAAAGGACAAACAACGCGGCAAAGTTACAGTAAGGTACAGGTGGGGGGGAGAAGGTTAAAGGAAAAGGTACAAGGTATACAAACAGGGTGAGAGGCAAGGGTAGTGTGTGGCATACTGCATAATGAGCTATGTTGGAAAAGAAGTACGATGAGGGAGAGGAGGGACGAACTAACGAACGAGAGCTGGTGCAAGCAGGTAATCAAGCTGGTTGTTGAGAATTCTCGAAGTCAACAGTGCCTTCCAGTGCATTAAAGTTTCATTCATCAGTACCTTCCATTCTCGTCCGCCGCTCACAGCACCTTCTCATGCCCCTCCTCCTCTCCACCCTTCCCCCCATCTCCATCCTCATCAACACCCCCCTCCTTCTCCACACCAGACACCAGATCCGCGATCGCACAGAGCAGCTTGCGGCGCGCCCCAAGCGCCACACCCATATCCTTCAAATCATCAGCAGTGAGCACAGTGGCCGCCTCAACATCCACCTCGTTCTCCTCAAACGTCCCGCTGTATCGGGCCAAACCGAGGGACCCAAGCCACGCGCCCACGCCCCCCACTGCCTCGATCCGCTCCCGCCCACGCCTCATGCGATCTAGGTATCCCAGTTTTGTTTCTGCTGCGCCCGGGCTTGCGCCTGCACCTCCTGTGCCTGCTGCGCCAGCGTCCTCCTTGCCCCCGTGAGCCTCTGCTTGAGCCGCCTTCTTACCGCTCTTCCCATCGCTCTTCCCACGACCTGCGCCTGCATTGGCCCCTGCCTTAGCAGCTGCTGCCCCTCGTTCACCACCCCCCAGGGGCACAGAAGCAGCAGCACCAGCGGCAGAAGCAGCATGGTCTGTTCTGGCTCGCTTGGCCGCAGGGACAGAGGTTCTCTTTCCTTGAGTCACTGCTGCCCTCTCCCCCCCTGCCCCGTCTCCCTTCCTTCCATTACCCACCGCAACCCCCGTCTTTCCTTGTCCCTTCCTCGCCCCCTTCCCATAATCCTCGTCTGAACTGTAACCCTCCTCCTCTTCTTCCCCTTCCTCCTCTTCCTTCTCCTCCTTCTCCTCCTCGTCCTCGTCCTCCTCCCATGTCTTTCTTTTCCCACCGGTAGCAGCACTACCTCCGCTCCTTGTACCAATCGTTTGTCTGCTCCTGTTCCATCCCATCTCCTGCTTCTGCTCCGGAACTGCCTTACCACCACCCCTCCGCGCCCCACTCACTACCCCACTTTCCTTGCTCTTGCCTACACTCCCACTCTTCGCCACGCCGCCCCCTCCCGCTCCCCCCTGTGCTGCAGATTTCGCTACAGCCTCCCCTCCCCTCTGCTCCGCGCCCTTCCCCCTCGCCCCAGTCACAGCCGCCCCTGCTGCCGCCCTCCCCCACGTACCACCTGCCCCTGCAGCCCTGCTCCTGTCCCTGCTGTCCCTGCCACCCGCACTCCCCCCAGCAGCCTTACCATCAGCCGCTACAGCCTTCCCCCCTTTGCCTATCCCAGCAGCTGCTGCTACAGCCGCCTTCCCCCTTGCGCCCCCCTCTTTCCCCCCAAAACCTCTGCTGTCCTGCGGAATAGGACGGATCTTAGGAGTGGGGGACTTGCGCGCAGGAGAATATTTCTTATCCTCCCCCTTCCCATGCTCCCCTGCTCCCCCTTTCTTCCCCACATCCCCCTGCTTCCCCCCCTTCCCCTGCGTCTGCTTTCCCCCATCCTTCCCCTTAGCCCCACCCACCTCCTTACCCCCCGCCGCCTTTCCCCCAGACCTCTGCGCCCCCTTCTTCTCCGCCCCCTCCCCCTCCTTACTCTTCCCCCCCCCAGGAGTCTGACCACCCGCAGTCTTAGCTCGCTTCCCTGCAGGAGAAGCAGCACTCTCTTTCCCCGCCCCTGCTGCTCCTCCCGATGCGGCAACAGCAGCAGCAACAGCGGCAGAGGAGCCAAGGCGGGCACTCGCGGAAATAAGCTCCCCCAGACGCACATTAGGCTTGCGCTGCCTCTTCCCCAGCACCACCCCCTCCGCCTCACTCTCCCCCGCGCCCTCCGCGCCCCCCGCGCCCCTGCTCCCCCCACGCTGCCACGCCTTCCGCCCATGGCCCTGCCCCCGTCTCTTGCGCCCTTGCCTGCAATTGAGCCCACAGAGGCCCTTCTCGCCTGTGCTGGTTTCTTCTCTTCCTCCTCCGATTCCTCCTCTGACTCCTCCTTTCCCTCGTCGCCCTCCTCGTCCTCATCATCTTGCTCCTCCTCCTCCTCTTCTTCCTCCTCTTCCTCCTCCTCTTCCTCCTCCTCTTCCTCTTCTGATTCAAGCTCCTCCTCCTCCTCCTCCTCCTCCTCCTTCTCCTCCTCCTCCTCCGCCTTCCTCTTCTTTGCAACATCCACACTTGCCTTCTCGCCCTTCTCACCCTTCTTACCCTTCTCCTCCTCTCCTCCTTCCCTCCCATCCTCATCCATATCATCTCCTTCCTCTTTCTCCTCTTCCTCCTCTTCCACCTGCTGTCCTTTCCCTTTTCCCTGCTTCCCGTCTTTCTCTCCTTCCACCTTTCCAGATTCGACTCCTCGTGCCCCTTCCTTCCTTACCTCTTCATCCTTCTTCCCTGTCTCGTCCGACCCTGCATCCTTCGCCTTCCCTTCACTCTCCCTTTCTCCGGTTGCTTGCTCATCTTCCTTCTCTTCCTCCTCCTTTGCTGCTCCCTTCTTCTCTTCTCCCTTCTCCTCTTCCCCTTTCTTCTCTTCTCCCTCCTTCTCTTCTCCCTTCTTCTCCTCTCCTTTCTCCTCCTCTCCCTTCTCCTTTCCCTTCTTCTCCTCGCCCTTCTTCTCGTCCCCTTTGTTTTCCGCAACCTTCTTCTCCACATCTTTCTCTGGACCTGCAGAAGCTGAACCTACATTTCCCTTCCCTTCCACACTTCCTTCTCCCACCTTTCCTCCCTTCCCTTCCACCTTCACTCCCGCCTTTCCTTCTTCCTTCTTTTCCCCTGTCTCTCCCTTCTTTTCTCCCTTCTCTTCTCCCTTCTTCTCTCCCAACTCGTCTCCTTTCGCTTCTCCCTTACAGACTGCACCGCCTTCTAGGCTCTTCCCACCCTCTCCCTCTCTCCCCTCCGCCCTCCCCCCTACAACTACCTCTGTGCTCTGCTCCCCCTTCTTCGCCCCATCCCCTTTCACCTCAACTCCCTTACTCCCATCCCCCTTCTCTCCTTTACCCGTCCCATCGTCTCCCTTACCCACTTGCCCACTCCCATCCTTCTCCTTGTCCTTACCACCTCCAGCGCTCTCACTAGCTTTACCCGTAGCCTCACCACCACTCGTCTTCGCTTGCCCTCCTTTCTCCCCCGCCACTGCTCCCGCATTTCCGCCCCCTCCGGCTCCGCTTCCGCCCGTAGCAGCGCCTGTAATTGCGCCTGCAATTGCGCCTGCAATTGCGCCTGCAGTTGCGCCCGTAGTTGCGCCCGTAGTTGCGCTCTTAGTTACGCCCTTCGTTGCGCCCGTGATTGCGCCTGCAGCTGCGCCTGCAGCTGCGCCCGTAGCTGCGCCGGTGGTTGCGCCTGCTGGAGCTGAAGAACTGGCTTTCCCCGCGGCTGGTTGCGTTGTTTTCCCCGCTGCCGCAGCAGCGGGCGCGCCAACCTTTACCCCGCCATCCGCTTTTGGCTCAGCGCCAGTCCCCCCTTCCGCCTTCCCCAGGGCGGGCGCAGAAATCGCAGCAGCAGCGGGTTTTCCTCCGCCGGGAGGCGCAGCACCAGCTTTCACTGCAGGGGGTGACGTGGCTCTCGCTTTCGCTACAGGCGGTGACGTGGCTCTCGCTTTCGCTGCAGGAGGTGACGTGGCTCTCGGTTTCGTCACTGAGGCTGTCGCAGGAGGCGTCTTTGTCGCAGAAACCGTCGCAACGGGCGACGCCTTCGTCACTAACGCGGGTGCCACGAGAGCTTTCACCGTCGGGATTCCCATCGCAGCAGCAGGCTTCGTCGCAGAGGCATTTGTCGCAGGAGCGTTCGTCACAGGGGCGTTCGTCGCAGAGGCGTTCGTCGCAGGAGCGTTTGCCGCAGGAGCGCTCGCCGCAGGAGCGTTCGTCGCAGGGGCGATCGTCGGGCCAGCCTTCACTCCTGACGACGTCGCAATGGTCGCTTTCGCGACTGGAGCCGTCGCAACGACCGGTTTCGCCGCTCCCGCCACAGGCGCGGCTGGCTTCGGCGACGGAACAGCTTTCGTCGTTGCCCCCACCGCTGCTCCCGCCGCTGCCCCCGCCACTGCTCCTGCAGGCGCAGGTCCGCCGGCTGAACTCGCAGTAGCTGGTTTACCTTGCGCTCCTGCGGGCTTTGCGCCAGCCGTAGCAGGCGCAGCAGCTTTGGTTGCTGCCGTGGTTGGCGCTGCTTTCGCGGGTTGAGCCGAGACAACTCGAGTCTCTGCTGCTTGACTAGACGCCGCTTGGGTGCCTGCTGCTTGAGCGGCCGCTGCAGGTTTGACCGTTGGAGCCGTCGAGCCCGCCTTTGCCGACGACGCGGGAATCGCTCCTCCTCCTCCTCCTCCGCCGGCCGTTGCTGGTTTCGTTACTGCGCCGGCAGCTGCTGCGGCTGTTGCTGTTGCTGCGGGTTTCGCGACCGAAGCGGCAGTCGTTGCTCCGGGCGCCTTCGTCGCCTCCGTCGCCACGCCCGGAGGCTTCGCTGCAGCTGTTGTCGCAGCCGAGGGCTTCACCGGAGCTGGTGTCGCAGACGAGGGTTTCGTCGCAGGGGCCGTCGCAGGAGCGGGCTTCGTCGCAGAAGATAACGCCGTTGATGCTTTTGCTAGGACCGTTGCTGATATCGTGGTTGCCGCCGGCTTCGCAGCGGGAGGCGCAGAAGCTCCCGCCTGCGCTGCCGCTTTTCCGCCAGTCGCGCCGGCTTTAACCACCGCATTCGACGGCGCCGGAGCTGGTTCAGATTTTGGCGCTGCAGCGCCTGCCGCGGACGCCGCCCCTCCCGCAGTTGATTTTGCCTCCGCGGGCTTGGCGGAAGCGGATTGAGCGGCGGAAGGTTCGCCCCGCTTGGGGCCCTCAGGATCAGCGGGCATGGCGCACCGGATGTTAATTAACTGCTGAGACTCAGGATAATCAGAAACAAAACGCCTTTAGGGATGTATGAAACGCTACTAACTCTGGTTCCACGCACGAAAATCACCGCGCGCAACACGTCAAGCAGCTGGAAAGCGGCCGAGCCGCTGCTTTAGCCTAAATTTATCGGGGTCCGAGGATGAAACGGCAGGCTGGCTTCAGGTTGCATGAGGAACTGGCTCAAACTGTCGAGAGCAAAGGGTGAGCGAGAAAAGCCGCTTCTGCTGGTCCACGCGACAGGGGCAAGCAGGGCGAGTGAGAGAGTGAGTGAGGGAGCAAGTGTAGGAGCAGTGAGGGGAGGGGGTGAGAAGCAAATGAGAGGGAACGGCGGCGAAGCGGGGAAAATTCAAGTGCTTGAAAGTACAAATCGAAGAGGTTGAGTTGGGGCTCGCGACAGGGTTTTGTTGGCGAAATCACATTCTGCGAATTAAACGAATTTCCTCGAGGAGTTCATCCCTGTCAATTGCTCTAACGAGAGTATGCTGTTACATCCATGCGAGGCTGTTGCTGAAAAGGTGTGGGTTAGGCAAAACTCATGACACCTGCAAATAATAACGATGCAACTGATAGAGATCGAGCACAATATATAGCTTTAGGGCGCGTCTTTTGAAATCTAGGCCAAAGTTCATGTTTTTAGGTCGAATTTTTGCAAATGAACACAGGTCGACCAGTAGTCGACTATCTCGTCATTCATTTGTCGAGTCGCGTGTTCACCTTGACGAGGAGTACATGGCACAAGAAATGCTCGACTTTCAGAGGTCGAATTTGTACAGTAAAACCCGAGTCGCGCCCAGCTTTCGTATGTTACCCTGTCTATACAGTGGAGTTCGCTAACACTTTCAGCTTTGGTAACCTGGCGCGACGTTGTTCGTAACCATCGCGAAGCTCGCAGCTTCTTCGTGCGTGGGCAGAAGAACACACGATTGGAGAAAAGTGCTCGGGGATAGTCGAATGCGAGGTCGACCCTAGTTCAGTGTCCTTCTGTTTCGGCAACTTTGAGCTTGGACACACGATCGTCGTCAACAGCTCTTAACGAAATTGGCGAAGATGGTTACCAGCAAAAGTTCGCCTTTTTTTTTGAACTTCTACACCAAAAGACAAGCGCCCTTATCATAAGTAGTAATTCCACTTGCTCGTATAAGGTAGTAACTCAGGACACACTCAATACGTATTTGGCTATTGGCCCCTCCTATTACATCCTAAGGATAGGAGACACTGCCTTTTAAGTAAAAACAGTAACAAGAAAAGAACAAAAAACCTGCACAGCAAGAAGAAAAATGGGCACAATCAGCCACCTAACCCTCCCCACCCACAAACACTCTGTGACAAGTTCCCACCCTCATCCCACCCAGCCTCTCACACAATCACGTCACCATCACCACCACTGTCGGGCTAATGCTACCTTGCTGTGGCTTTCCCCCATCCCTAGATGTGCACCAAATTGCACCAAATGCCTGTTGCTTGTTACCGCGCTCTGCTCCTTTACCGTCCGCTTCCGTTGTAACCACAACTTAACCACGACGACGCGGATCGAACTGTGTGGGAATGAGAGGAAGCCCAGCCAGTGAGGTGTGCTCCACCCTCAACTCACAGCCCCCTCCCCACCCCCTCTCCCCTCATCCTCTTTGCTGTTAATCCACACACCCAGGCGCATGGGGCACATGCTACAACTCCCACCTGCATTATTCTGACTCTCCTCCCCTTACTCCTCTCCCTCCCTCTTTCCCGTGCTCTAACCGAGCACCAACAGTCACTCAACAGCACCTAGCAGCAGCAGAAGAACGACGAGGAGGAGGAGCGAGGGGAGTGGGAGGCAGTAGCGAAGGAGGAGGAAGAAGCAGAGGCGGGGGCGCGGTGCGAGGCCTGGCGTGGGAGCGCGTTGGGGTCGCGGGAGAGGGCCTCCTGCATGGCCTCCAGCTGCTGCACCACGTACGTGAAGGGCGGGCGCCGGTCGGGGTTGCTGTGCCAGCACGCCTGCATGAGCTCGGCTAGAGGGAGTGGGACGTTTGCTGGTATGTCCGGCCGCGTGCCCTGGGATGGATGGGATGATGGGAGAGGGGAAGAGGGGACTTTTGAGGCGCCTCAAATGCACCACGTACGTGAGGGGCGGGCGGCGGTCCGGGTTGCTGTGCCAGCACGCCTGCATGAGCTCTGGTAGCGGGAGCGGGACGTCAGGCCGGGTGCCCTGATGGGATGGGCGAGAGGGTGGGCGAGGGGATGGGAGGTGAGGGGGAGATGCGGGAGGGGGGATTGGAGGGGGAAGGTGGGATGGAAAAGGGGGATGGAGGGAATGTGTGACCATGTGCGATCACATTGTGTGAGAGGGAGGCACTCCTACAATCACACTGTTCTCTCTAGCAACCCTTGTTGATTTCACAGCCCCTCACAGACTCCTTTCTTTTCCCCATTTCTTCAGCACACCAGACGACCACGACCCCCACTATATCTGTCCCCATTCCCCCCCAATCGCCCTCTCAGTCATCGCACAAACCCTCTCCACTCCCTCTCTTTCCTCTCGCGTCTCCCCTCTCCCCTCTCTCTCCCATATGCCCCCTTCTCCCCACCGTTTTCCCTGCAAAACAGACCATTTTACTCCCTCCACTTTCCCTTCTCACCCACCTCCCAACCCAGTCCCACCCTAAACTTCCACTCCACCCTCCACCCCCTTTTCCTCCTCCTCCCCCCCTTTCCACCCACCCGATTAACCACGGCGAACGCAGCCTGCATGGCGGTCATGCCCGCAAACGGCAGCTGCACGGTGCAGAGCTCCCACAGGACAATCCCGAAGCTGTACACGTCCACGTTCTTGGTGTACGGCCGGTGGTCCACCACCTCCGGCGCCATCCACCGGTACGTGCCCGTCTCGGCGGTCATCATGGACGTGTCGGCTTCGAGACGGGCCACGCCGAAGTCGGTGATTTTGACGACGTTGTCTGTCGTGAGGACGAGGTTGTCGGGCTTTAAGTCCCGGTGCACCACGCCCTGGGGTGGGGGGTTGCGGGGGGGGGGAGAGGGGAGGGGAGAGGAAGGGAGCAGGGTGCGGGGAGAGGGAGTGGGTGGAGGCAGGGTTTGTCTTGAAGTCTCTGGGGGTGGGTGGGGGCGAGAGTGATGTGACAGGAGCTGTGTAAGGATCACTTGGAAGAATTCTCGAGAAAGCAAAGCGCAAGTGTGAAGAGCTGTTGAGCCGCGTTGGTGTTCCTAGGCCTCCACATCTCGTTCAAAACCATGCAGATAGGTTGGCTGGTGAGAATCACTTCCGGCGGCGAATTGAGGTGGTGGGGAAGGGAACAGACAACCAACCAAACAAATTCAACACCCCCAATCCCTGGCCCCTTGCATCTGCACATAGTATCTGCACGTGCGCGCCCCAAGCACACACATGCATTCTCTCGCACACACCCACACTCCCCCCCTTCCCCCCCTCCCTCCGTTCGCCCCGCACACACGCGCGCACCCTCTTCGCCTGATTCCAATTTCCTCCCCCCCCCCCCCCTCTTCCCCTCACCCCCCCACCCCCGCGCCTCTCACCTCCGCGCGCAGGTGCGCCATGTCGCGCGCGACAGCACCTGCACGTCCTCTACACACACGCACGCACCCCCAATCCGCTCTACCCCCCATCCCCCTCTCCCCCCGCCTCCCCCAACTCCCTCTTCTCACCTCTGCGTGCAGGCAGGTGCTCCATGCCGCGCGCGAATGCACCTGCGCGTGGCCCCACACACGCGCGCGCACCCTCTTCCCCCCCCCCTCGCCCCCGTCCCCCCACTTCTCTCACCTCCGCGTGCAGGTACGCCATGCCGCACGCGATATCCAGCACATGCGCGCGCGCACCCTCCTACCCCACTCACCCCGCTTCCTCTCCCTCCCCCTCCCCCCCCCCCCCCTCACCTCCGCGTGCAGGTACGCCATGCCGCGCGCGATATCGAGCGCCAGGCGCACCACCTCTTGCAGCGGGAGCAGCTGCCCCTCGCGCTTCTGCAGGAACGCGCGCAGGCTCCCCCCGCCCAGGTACTCCGTCAAAATACACCACGTGGGCGGGCGCTGGCACGCGCCAATAAACCGCACCACGTTCGGGTGGTCTAAGCGCGCGAGGAGGTCTACTTCTTGCTTGAACTGATGCGCGAGTTTCTCCGCTTCGCCCTCGCTGTCTGGTGGCCGTAGGATCTTAATCGCCACGTCCTGCCCTTCGTACAGGCCCTGGTAAAGCCGTCCGTATGTGCCGGTCGCGAATTTCGGCCCTACGAATAGCCGTTGCAGCTCCACGAATTTGTCCTCGTGGCCTTCCAGCGCGCGCCACGTGTTTTCCGCGCCGCCAGCCCCGCCCCCCGCGCCGCCGCCTCTCCCGGACCTGCTTCCCTCGCTCCGGCGCCGCCCCGTCGTGCCTTCCGCAGCGGTTCCGCCGTCCCCGCCGTCCGCCGCTGCCGCGCTGTCCTTCCGCCTCCTCCGCCGCCGCTTCTGCTGCGCCTTGTCCCCTGGCGCTGACCCCCCTTCCTCCCCATCCGCCTCCCCCCCGGCGCCCTCCTCCCCGTCTTCAACATCCTCCCAATCCTCGTCATCATCCCCCACTTCCACGTCCTCCTCCACGTCATCTTCCGCCTCTAGCGGCACGTTCAGCAGCCACACGAACGACCGCTCCCCGTCTGCCGTGCGCCGCGACGACTCGCTCCCGGAGCACTCCCCGCCCGCGTTCCCCTTCGCGCCGCCATCCGCGGAAGGATCCTCCGCGGACTCCGCTGCCTTCTCGTCCCGGAGCGCTTTCTCCTCGTCTACCCATATTCCGTTTCCGCTCCTATCGTACCCTTCTCCGCGTTCCTCCTCCGCTTTGTCGTTTTCCGCCCGGATCAACTCTTCCGCCTCCCCTCCCCCTCTCCCCGCATCCCCGCCGCCTATTTCCGCCGAATTTCCCCCCTCGGCTTCCCCCGCGCCTCCGCCAGCAGATCCCGGACGGCCAGTTTCCGCGCATCCATTGGCGTCCGCGCTAGCTCCGCCGCCGCGCAATCTCTCCGCTCCCCCAAGGTCTCCGTCTCCGCGCACCTCGCGCGCAGCTGTGCCCTCCTCGTGGCGCAACTCCCCCTGGCTTCCCCCTTTGCGCAAAGAATCATCCCATCCATTCTCCAAGCTCGCGCTGGTCCTTTGCGCCTGCCCTTCCGCCCACGCGCCTACTTCGCGCTCTGATGGCGCAATCAGCGGGCGCTCATCCTCCGCCGACCGGCCTCCGCTCGAAACATCTTCCGCCGAAGCCTCCGCCACAGATCCGCCAAGCGCGCCAGCGCCCATCTCTAACCTTCCGCGGAAGCGATGGTCTACGGGGTCCCCCGCGGAGCCTTCCCCTTCCGCTAGGGGGGAAAAGGTACCGCCGTTCATTGCGTTTCCGCCAAATCCGCCCAGCGCCGTGAATGGCGCCAGACGCCACGACGCGCGATCTCTGCCGCCCTGCTTCCGCTCCCACCACGCTAACTTCGGCACGCTAAGGAACGGGCGGAAGGGCTTTCTAGAATCCGTGTCTCGAACTGTGCGCTGCGTCTTTTGCCGTACCGCAAGTGCGCGGGAGTGGCGGAGAGCGGAAAGTGGAAAACGGGGAGCAGAATGCGGAAAGCGGAAATGGGAGAGCGGAGAACCGAGGCGGAGAAAGGAGCGGCGGCGAGACTTCGAAGAGATAATTTGTACTTGTTGCTTCTGCAGAGGCGCTAGGGACTAACTTCTAAGAATTCTCCAAAGAGACTCCGTGAAACCGGACGGTGCGGAACAGCCTCGTATATCTCAACGGAATCTGGGGTGACGCTCCGAAAAAATGTGTTAGTTACTACGAAAATTATTGGAGTGAGGTGCAGCCGAGGAAGGCGAAGCACCACCCGGTTGACCAGCCTTAAATGGCTTTCAAATGGGCGTGCCCGCCCAGGAGGAAACACAAGAGCTCGCTATTGCGAGAATATGCGCCGCAAGGGAACATGCAAACGAGGCCGGAAAAGGCGGGCGCACAGGGCAGTGCAGCGCACAGGCGCCTTCGCTTGCGAACGATGGCTTGTTCTGTGCCTGTCTGAGCTGGGGTCGTGTCATGAGCGACAAGAATTTTGGGAGTTGGAAACATTACTTTAACACAGGTTATTTTGGCAAAAGGCTCCCCTTTTCCTGATAGTCCTGGGTACTACCTGCTAAGAGCGAAGAACTAGAGTCGGTCCCCTTTCGAGGCTTCGTCACAAGAAATGTGGATATTTCGTTCCCAATATTCCCTCCAGTAGGGAGGAACCCTAGGGAGCTTCGATACGCGGTCGGGTGTCAGAAGTTCGGGTGCGAAAACCTTCAAATGAATGAAGCAGTATGCGATAAATGGTTGGGGGTGTTGGGCGGGCTATGGTTCCATTCCATGTCAGCTTTCAGACACTCGGCGTGTGAGGAGAAATGCAGAAGTGCATGGAGGAGAGTGCAGCGAAGTCGGCGCTTCCTCTGCCAACAGTCATAAATCCTTGGATCTAGTTGGATTAATGAATAGTGTCAGAAAACAAACATGAGGCAACCCTCAACTTCAGGTGTAGTTCAAAGTGCATGAGCAGTAACATGAGCCAGTTTAATTCTCTAAAAGCTTTCCGATGATTTTAAACTTGTGACAAATCCACTTCGAATATGCAAAACATCTGCTCCACCGCATTTAGCTGGGCTCTAGCTATGCCCGTATTCAGTTCCGTGATCTGAACTGGAAATAGTGATACAGTCGATGCCCAACCCATGCACGCGAAATTGCCTTGCACGTTCCAGAAACCTTGCACCCGTGGGTTTCTTGCCGCGAAGTTGCACCTACGTTACAAGCACGTCGACCAATAAGAGCCACAGAAACGGAAGTCTGACTGATGAGACTGCAGTCAAACAGTCAACGGTGAGTTACAAAATTTTTATATAAGCCCTTTTTGCCCGACGCGAATTGACGAAACCACCGCGAAATGCAGAATCACTTATACGCACATGGGGTAGGCCAAAGTTGGGGGACTCAACCGGGCATCATGTGTATACTATCATAGAACCCCGAAATAGGGTGCATCGACAAATCGCCGTCTAAGCACAGAACGATGTTCCACAAGCAGCCAGCAATTCCCCGTGGCCAGACGTTCTGCGATTCCATTGCTTTTCGGACCCTCGTGTGACCACGTGAGACGTCGCAACCAGTCGTGACCACACCTCAAAACTTGATGGTTTTCCTTCCCTAAAGGGGACAACCCTATTCGTCGAACGCTGGCCTCTGCTGCTGGCGGCTGGCCTGGGGGTTTCTGTTGGGCGCGTACACTTGTTGCTTGAAAGAGTCGAACAAACATGCTGGTTTTGGGGGCTTCAACAGTGAAAGATCTCTCGTCTGCGTTCGCCACAAGCACCAATTTGACTCCCTACGTAGTAACATGCGTAACCTCGGTACCCCAAGTGTTTGGGCGGCGGCACTTGTTCTGCCTGTGCAAAATTGCAGCTGGTTCTGTCCCTGGTGACTTCTGTTCATTTAGGGTCGACTGTACAGTATGGTTCAGTCACCACCTCGGGTTTACTGCAATCCGAAGGTACGAGGTTCGATCAACAGCAGGAAAAGCGCTTGAACTTGGCAACAGATGTAGCCGGCTCCTCGCCCGATAGCGAGAGTTGAATGTGTGGTGTGGTACTGTATGTCGAAATCGAAACACTGTGCTAGGGGGTTTACAGTTTCATTTCATCCCATGCTACAGACGATTATGGGGCTCTACCTATCTTATTTTCGGGGTGCCCGTCTACCACACATGAGGAGCCTCTCAGTATACACATATATTTCACTTTTGCGCCACTCTCTGTCTGGCTATACATGATTTGTTCAGCTCGAAGTTCTGGCTATTACGGTCTCAAGAAATACACTTAGATGAGGATGGTGGCTTCAACGTATGCTGCAAACGCACGCATTCCATACATGCGTTATTTCATCATTTCCATTATATACTCAACCTAATACACAACTTAGCTTAGTAGCCATCGACCCTACCGCAGTTGGTATACCAGTAAGGCAGCTGCTGCTTCCTCTATCTGAACCATAACTGAAATTTGTAGAATAATAATTATGCTGCAGTGTAAGGGCTCTGTGCCGGCACGGGTTGTGCCACATAGAGGCTGCAGAGGTACAGCAGGGGGACAGGTACAAGAATAGGGGGGGGGGGGGGGGGGGGGGGGGGGGGAAGGGGGGGGGGGGGTTAATTATATATGGGAGGGGACATTGTTGGGCTCTTGAGACAGGCAGGATGAGAGGAAAAGGGAGTAGATTGCGTGGGATGGAAAAGGATGCACTCTCGAACGCACTCAACGTCAGTCTCACCCTTCGGCCTTCCCGTAAGGAGCAAGGCGTGTGGCGCGGAAGGCATAGGTGGGCATGGAGGCACAGAAGAGCATGCAGGCGAGGCCCACAATGAGAAACCCAATCCACAGCAACTGCAAGTTGCTCTCCAGCTTGAACGCCTGGTCTATAATAAACTGGTGGATGGGGCCGGTGGGAAATTGAGATTTGGGACGTCTCAAAACCCAAATTTACCACGATCAGGAATCCGATTCACAGCAAGTTGCTTTCCAGCTTGAACGCTTGGCCTATAGTGAACTGGTGGGTGGGAGAGGAGGGGAAGGTGAACATGTGGGCTGTGGTGTACATGAGTTTTCTCCAGATAATGCGGTGGTTCTATGAGGATTATTAGAGGGAGGGGAAGGTGGGGGAAACAGGGGCTTGATTGGACAAGCGCAGCGGTAATTGTGATTAGGATGGGTGGGGAGGGGTGGTTGAGTGTGGAGAGAGGGATGGAGCGGCAGGACAGCACGACACAGCACAGGACAGCGTTGTTTATATGGTAGTAGCTGAGGCGCCCTTGTTAACGTACACACATTCAAGATTGCCCCCCTTTTTTCTTGACATGATGGCATGGCACGGAACGGCATGGCACGGCATGACATGGCATATCGCACCTGGGCAACGTTCTTGACATAGGCACAGTCAATGATGGTCTTGATGCCCTCAATAGCATTCTCCAATCGGTCGGTGCTGACCAAGACTGCACTCATGTCTGACAATACCTCCGGTGGCATGCCTGCGTTCCCTGTGTCCCCTGACTGGTTCAGTTTCTGTGGTTGGGGGCAGGAAGAGGGTGGATGGAAAGGGTGATTTGGGAAAGGGGAAGGTGAAGGAGATGGAGAAGGAGAAAGATTGACACAGGCAGCAGGATGGTGCAGGGCGGTGCTGTGAAGTTCACAGAGGTGCAAAGCGGTGCAGGGTGGCACAGGGCACCTGAAAGAGCTGCGAGAGCGTGAGGGAGCCTGGCGTGCAGATGGAGACATTGAGGGCGTACTGGGGAGGGGCGTACGGCACACACACTGCCGTCGCCCCTGCTGCTTGCAGGACCTGTGGTGGTGGGAGGAGAAGGGGAAGGGGAGAGAGAAGGAAAGGGGAGAGAGGGAGAGGGGAGGGAAAGGAAAGCAAGGGAAAGGGAGGTGAGAAAGAAAAGACGAGTGCGTGGGATAAAGGGCGAGAGCAGGGACGCTAGCAGTGGCACTTACCACTTATCATCATTACCGCAGTAATTACCCCCTACCTACCACTAGCAATCAGGGCAGTGCAGGAAGGATTGGCCGCACCTGAGGCTATTCCTGCTCCAGTGCATTCGTGACAAAGGTCTGCAATGTCAAGATTGTGGAGTAACGATGGGAGGAAGGTTCGAGATGACCTCTGAGTCGACTCAAGCGTTTTGGAAATGGGAGGCTGGGAGGCCGTACCTGAGGGTATTCCTATTCCAGTGTGTTCTTGACAAAGGTCTGCGATGTGAAGATGGCGGAGTGACGAGGTGCCTTTTGAGTCGACTCAAGCGTTTTGGTAATGGGAGGCTGGGAGGCCGTACCTGAGGGTACTCCTTTTCCAGAGCATTCTTGACAAAGGTCTGTGATGTGAAGATGGCGGAGTGTGCGATGGTCACCACGGCCTGCATCTGGTCCTGCTTGGCGCACGGAAGGTACTGGCTCATTGCGCTGTTGACGGTGGGGTTGTGCATGACCTGCTGTAATGCTGCCACTGAGTCACCCTCCACCCTGAGATGGGAGGCGAGGGAAAGAGATGGGGCCGGGGAGATGGGGGAGGAGAGGTGGAGAGAGGGGGACGAGAGAAGGGGGAGGAGATGGAAGGGCAAAAGAGAGGGGAGGAGATGGAAGGGCAAAAGAGAGGGGAGGAGATGGGGTTGGGAGAGAGAGGGCAGGAGAGAGGGGCAAGAGACAGAGTGAGAAGGGGAGGGGTGACAATGTGTTGCGGCGTCTCAGAAGTGACACATTCTCAGAATGCACTGAACTCACAGCACAGGTAGGTGGCGTAGACTACGCCGATGGCGACCCAGGCCCAAACAACTTTTATGAGACGTGTCAAAAATACATTGTACACACCAGGCCACACAACTTTTGAGATGTTGCAAGACTCTTTTGAGACGGCAGGATGCACTGCACTCACAGGTAGGTGGCGTAGAATATGCCTACGCCGACCCAGGCCCACACGACCAAGATCCACAGGAAGACGAGGATACTGGCATGCATTCATGAGATGGCATGGCATGGCATGGCATGGCATGAGATGAGCGCGTGGGGAAGGGCGGTGGGGAAGGAGAGGAGGCGGGAGGGAGCGGAGGAGGTAATGGGGGAGGGGAGAGGGAATGGGATGGACGTGAGGGGATGGGATGGGAGGAGGAGATAGTTAGGGAGCTTAAGTGGGGAATGCGAGGGAAAAGGAGGGGAGGTGATGCGTATGGGTGATGCATGGGTGCATGGGGAAAAGCATGGGTGGATGGGGAAACGAATGGGTGCAGTGTGATGCACGGGTGCATGAGGTGATGCATGGATGCATGAGGTGATGCATGGATGCATGGGGTGATGCATGGATGCATGGGGTGATGCATGGATGCATGGGGTGATGCATGGATGCATGGGGTGATGCATGGATGCATGGGGTGATGCATGGATGCATGGGGTGATGCATGGATGCATGGGGTGATGCATGGATGCATGGGGTGATGCATGGATGAATGGGGTGATGCATGGGTTAATGGATTCGCTTACACGTTTGTTACAGCCACTAGGTGACAGAGAGCAAACACTGCAGGCAACGAGGATGAGGGATCAGAGGAAGAGGGGAGAAGAGGGGAGAAGAGGGGAGAAGTGGGGAGAAGTGGGGAGAAGAGGGGAGAGAGAGAGGGGAGAAGTGGGGAGAAGTGGGGAGAAGTGGGGAGAAGTGGGGAGAAGTGGGGAGAAGTGGGGAGACGTGGGGAGAGTGGGGAGACGTGGGGAGACGTGGGGAGACGTGGGGAGACGTGGGGAGACGTGGGGAGACGTGGGGAGACGTGGGGAGACGTGGGGAGAAGTGGGGAGAAGTGGGGAGACGTGGGGAGACGTGGGGAGACGTGGGGAGACGTGGGGAGACGTGGGGAGACGTGGGGAGACGTGGGGAGACGTGGGGAGACGTGGGGAGACGTGGGGAGAAGTGGGGAGAAGTGGGGAGACGTGGGGAGACGTGGGGAGACGTGGGGAGACGTGGGGAGACGTGGGGAGACGTGGGGAGACGTGGGGAGACGTGGGGAGACGTGGGGAGACGTGGGGAGAAGTGGGGAGACGTGGGGAGACGTGGGGAGACGTGGGGAGACGTGGGGAGAAGTGGGGAGAAGTGGGGAGACGTGGGGAGACGTGGGGAGACGTGGGGAGACGTGGGGAGACGTGGGGAGACGTGGGGAGACGTGGGGAGACGTGGGGAGACGTGGGGAGACGTGGGGAGAAGTGGGGAGAAGTGGGGAGACGTGGGGAGACGTGGGGAGACGTGGGGAGACGTGGGGAGACGTGGGGAGACGTGGGGAGACGTGGGGAGACGTGGGGAGACGTGGGGAGACGTGGGGAGACGTGGGGAGACGTGGGGAGACGTGGGGAGACGTGGGGAGACGTGGGGAGACGTGGGGAGACGTGGGGAGACGTGGGGAGACGTGGGGAGACGTGGGGAGACGTGGGGAGACGTGGGGAGACGTGGGGAGACGTGGGGAGACGTGGGGAGACGTGGGGAGACGTGGGGAGACGTGGGGAGACGTGGGGAGACGTGGGGAGACGTGGGGAGACGTGGGGAGACGTGGGGAGACGTGGGGAGACGTGGGGAGACGTGGGGAGAAGTGGGGAGAAGTGGGGAGACGTGGGGAGACGTGGGGAGACGTGGGGAGACGTGGGGAGACGTGGGGAGACGTGGGGAGACGTGGGGAGACGTGGGGAGACGTGGGGAGAAGTGGGGAGAAGTGGGGAGGTGGGGAGACGTGGGGAGACGTGGGGAGACGTGGGGAGACGTGGGGAGACGTGGGGAGACGTGGGGAGACGTGGGGAGACGTGGGGAGACGTGGGGAGACGTGGGGAGACGTGGGGAGACGTGGGGAGACGTGGGGAGACGTGGGGAGACGTGGGGAGACGTGGGGAGACGTGGGGAGACGTGGGGAGACGTGGGGAGACGTGGGGAGACGTGGGGAGACGTGGGGAGACGTGGGGAGACGTGGGGAGACGTGGGGAGACGTGGGGAGACGTGGGGAGACGTGGGGAGACGTGGGGAGACGTGGGGAGACGTGGGGAGACGTGGGGAGACGTGGGGAGACGTGGGAGACGTGGGGAGACGTGGGGAGACGTGGGGAGACGTGGGGAGACGTGGGGAGACGTGGGGAGACGTGGGGAGACGTGGGGAGACGTGGGGAGACGTGGGGAGACGTGGGGAGAAGTGGGGAGAAGTGGGGAGACGTGGGGAGACGTGGGTGAAGGGGGGCGAAGACAGAGCGATGGAGAAGTTAGAAGTTATGATCATCTGGTGAAAAGGAAGATATAGGAATAACTCGTTTGAACAAAGGGGTGGAGAAGGGCAGAGGGAATACAAGAAAGGGAACAAATGGGGTAGAACGAGGAGAAGAAGTGGGGAGAAGAGCATGGGGACAAAAAAAAACAAGATAGAGCATGGCGAGGGGGAACAGATACGAGAAAGGGCGGCAGATGGGAGTGAGAAGAGGTAAGGAGGGGCGGGTCAAGCAGAGGGCTATTGGGGCAGCACTGACCGAATCCGAGAATGCAGAGCAGCACTATGGTCATACCCACTCCGAACATGAAGCGATAACTGGCATGGTATGGCGCACATGGGGCATGGGGTTGGCATGCATGGGGAGAGGAGGGGAAGTGCAGGGGGAGAGGTGGGAGGAGGGAGAGAGGGGGAGGTGCCAACGAACAAGAGTTAGACAAGGTGAACATGATATGATGTGGGAGGAGGAGGAGGAGGTAGAGTGCAACATGTGTCATTTCCACACCCTGGCGGTGTTAGCATACGGAAGAAGTCTGAGTGGGCAATAGCCGTTAAATAAGCAGGGGAAGAAAGAGGAGATGGTACGAGATGTAGTAGGTGTGGTGTGGAAGAGGAAGCGTAAGAGAAGACTGTGAGTGACTGTGAGTGAGTGTGAATGAGTGTGAGTCACTGTGAGTGAGTGTGAGTGAGTGTGAGTGACTGTGAGTGTGAATCACTGTGAGTGACTGTGAGTGACTGTGAGTGACTGTGGGTGAGTGTGAGTGTCTTCTCACAGTGATCACATCCCCACACACCCCTCGCCCAGTCTCCCCCGTTTCCCCAAACCCCTCTTCTCCCCTCAACTCCCCCATTTTTCCCTCCTGCCTCACATGAGCAGCACGAATGCGTTCACGAGCACAGTGCCCTTGTCCGCCAGGCCCTGCACCGCTGCCCTGTTCCCCCGAACCCGTTTCCCCGGTCCCCTCACGGCCCTTTTCCCCCCGTTTCCCCTCTCCCACAGTCCCTCCCCCCTCCTCCTGCCTCACATGAGCAGCACGGACGCGTTCACGAGCACAGTGCCCTTATCCGCCAGGCCCTGCAGCTGCAATCCCTTCCCCCCCACCCTCCTCTCTCCCCCAACCCCCTTTCCTCACCCCCCTCCCACGCCATCTCACATGAGCAGCACGGACGCGTTGACGAGCACAGTGCCCTTGTCCGCCAGGCCCTGCAGCTCCACCGCCGTCTGATTCACATCTGCCGCTAACACTGATACCCTCGCTGTCGCGTTCGCTGGTGGGAGGGTAAGAGGGGAGGGCAGGAAGGGGCGAAAGGCGAGGAGGAGGAGGGGGAGGAGGAGGAGGAGGAGGAGGAGGAGGAGGAGGAGGAGGAGGAGGAGGAGGAGGAGGGGGGAGAAAGGAGGGGAAGATTATCAAGTGTCGTTCACCTACATAAATCCTGCAGAAAGGAGGGGAAGGCTCGTGGATCAACCCCCAGTCACAGTTTTTTTTGGGAAAGCGGAGCAGAGTGGAGTGGAGCGGAGAAAAGGGCGTGCTGGGCGAAAAGCATATCCGGAGAATTCTCAGGAGAAGGAGAGGGAGAGAGAAGAGGGAGAGAGAAGAGGGAGAGAGAAGAGGGAGAGGGCGCACTGGGCAGCGCAGCGTTGGCGACGTGCGTGTGGGAGAGCGCAGCGACGGCGGTGGAGACGTTGGTGACGATGGCAGCGGCGCGGTTGACCTGGTCCATGGCGTAATCCGTTATGGCGTGCATGTTGCTGCGGAACATGATGCCCCCCGCTAGCATCACCGCCAGACCCGCGCTGCGATGAGGTGGGAGAGTGGGATGGGAGGGAGGGGGGAGGGAGGGAGAGCAGGAGGGGGCAAGAGGTGAATGGCGACATGTGAGAAGGAAGACTGCCGAGGAACGAGAGAGGTGCCGTGGCGCGTGGGTGCTCACAGGAGGGCGAGGATGGCAAGGATCATGACGAGCAGTGGTCAGTAACGGACAGGTGGGCTGCGGAGGCCTTACTTCCATCAACTTGTGTGGTTCTTAGAAAAGAGCAGGGGCTTACAGGAGCGCGAGGATGGCAAGGATCATGACGAGCAGCGGGAGCGTGAGGTCGCGCTTGGAGTAAGGGCGGAAATCGTCGCTGCGCATGCGGGTCCAGCGCTCGTGGCAGCAGCAGCACGTGCAGCAGATGCCCGCGAGTATGCCCAGCCCCAGCAGCAGCCACGCCACGCCCACTATCGGCCCGAACGACGCCGTCATCCCCACCGACTGCCGCGCGCGGAGGGGAGGCGGCGGGGGGAAGGGGGGAGGGGGGGGGAAAGGGGGAGGGGGAAAAGGGGGAAAGGGGGAGGGGGAAAAGGGGGAAATTGGGGAAGGAGGCGTTGGGAGAGAGAGGGAAAGGGTGAGCGAAGGAGACGTTGGGTGTCGAACGTCGAATTGAACGTAGTAGTTACTTCCCGACTCTCCTCCGTATCACACACACAGCGGAGCGTTGACGAAGTCCTCGCGGCGCGTAATATTACAATACATCAGGCAGGTCCCACCTCCCCCGCGCGTACCGCCCAGTAGTGCTGGTCGGCGGGGTTCCATCCTCCAGTGTACGGCCGCAGACCATTCATCGGGTCTCTCCTGGCCGTCCGATCCGGCACCAGGAGAATCGTCTCGTTGTTCACCACGATCGTCCCCAGCATGCCCCGACGACGCGTCGCCGCGGCTCCCGATTGGGCAGCCGCGCCGCGGGATAATCCCAGTGCCGGGAAGTCGTAGAGAACGGTGGATTGGAGCCGGCGGGAGAGGGAGCGGTGATGCATCGGCGCGACGGCGGCGGCGGCGGCGGCGGGGATGGCGGCGCGGCAAGGAAGGGGCATGAGAGCAAGCGCCGCGACGGCGAAGATGACAAATTCGAGAGCGAAGGCACGCCCCGTCATGGCCCCGGCGCGGCGACTCCAAGGGGGCGTCGCGCCGAGGGGTTTTTGCAAGATGTGGGATGATGCAAAGAGGCGGAAGGGGCACGTTCGGGCGGAGGAGGAGGAGGAGGAGGAAGAGGAAGAGTAAGAAGAGGAGGAAGTGGAGAAAGAGGAGGAGGAGGAAGGGGAGGGGAAAGCCTTGAGAAGCACTGTCATGGCGGGGTGGGGAAGGGGGGGAGAGGGGGGCTACTCCGCAGTCCGTCAGAGTACGTCCGACGACGCTTGATGGACGGGACGCACGCAGAGTGCAGAGACGAGACGACTAGGGGCCCGCTGCTGCTCCTTGGTGTGCGAGATTCAGCGGCAAGGTAGAGAGGTCCGGGCTTCTTGGGAGCTGGAGGGCGCGGGAGGCGGCGGGAGGGCGCAGGAAGGCTCGAGAGGACACAAGCTGTGTACATATGTCCCAAGCCGATTCTATGTCGCTTCGAGGACGAGGCTGCGACCAGTAATGTCGATAGAGGAGGCAGATTCAATGCAAGAGCCAGATTCGACCTAGATGCATGCTACAGCTCAATACGGGCCGCGGCAATCAGCGTCGGCGCCTGGAAAAGAACGTTATATAATCTGTTAGGACGTGGCAGCTACGTAATGTTCCGTTTCAAAATAACCTCCGGCACAAGTGTGTCTGGGGCTATACTGCACCATTATCAGCGCGACGCGGAAAATTGCACACCTTCGTAGGATGCTAACGAGTGCCAATAAGCGCCCCTGCTCGTCACTTCATTTCTGCGCTGCTTGAAGCTGCTGAACTCGGTTGGGCTTTGCATTTGAACACAATTATCGAAGCGCGGCGTGGGTAGCGTGGAATATTTTTTTTTTGGGCCGTGAAAAAAAAATCGAGTCAAGGCCTGTGGTGCGGATGGGTTGACCACGGCGTCTGCCTGTAGTCGTGGACGAACCGACCAACCAGATTGCAGTGCAGTACGGTTCCACCACAACCGACTGCCCGTGGGGGTAAGCGTGACGTTCTCAGGGGGGTGGAAAGGAACGACCCGCAGCCATCGGGCAGGCGAAAGTCGGTTTGATGTGATGTGACCCAACAACAAATGTCACCTGCTCGCCAACAACTCAGGGGCACATCTTTGCAAGTTGGTTCACATGCCACGGGCAGCCCACCGCAAAAGCACTCCCTCAATACGTACCTGATGCGCCACGCAACGACCCAAGGGTGTGTCAGGACAGCCCGTTAACAGCTCACGCACAATTATCTTGCTGCCGTTGAGTACGTTTGAACGTGGTGAAGTGAGAAGATGAGTGGTGTAAAGGGGTAGAGTGCACAAGATTGCACTCAACTGTTTCGACTCAAATATGCCTGGGCTTTGGTCATATTTCTTCGTTGTTCTGTTTTACGCGTTTTAAAACGGTCAAGCACGTCTAAGAGCGGTTCTGGACTTTCACAGTTGTGAGTTTACAGTTCATGTATTGGGCTGGCGAGTTGCGAGCGGTTAAAAGCGGTGAAGTAAACAAAAAAATTTCAACATTGTTACTTCATAACATAACCCTGTGTGAAAGCTGTTGGGGCGAGATATTTATATGCAATCTTCACAATATAACCCAAAGAGCACCCGTTTAAGTAATTTTTAGCAAATTTGTGAACAAATAGCTGAGGACGATGCTATTCACGCTTTTTTTGCAAGATATTGAGTTTTGTTATGAGTGTGGAACCAGCCGTAAAATCGAAATGTAACTTCCAATATAACGCACAAACGCACGGTGACGTACCGAGTACAACGCACCACCCCAGCACGTGTGCGTTCGCTGTGCAACCAGGTTCGGGCAAGCTGGTTTCCACAGCAATCAAGTGCGAGGAAATCTCTAGGTAGCGTGTGAGGCAGTTCCAAGGTCGGAAGTTCGATTTGTTCGAACGCCAGTCTGAATCAAACGCAACAGCAAATTCCCAGATTCGCTTGGGCAGGCCAATAAGCAGCAAACTAGGCGTCGACTTCTCAACTGGAATTCGTAGTTGCCTCAAGTGAGAAGAGCAGAAACAGTTCTTGTCAGCACGGCGTGCGCTTCAGGGTAGTTGCACTGTGCTTCTAATCCAGCGCAGACGTGTGCACTTGTTCGAGCTCCATCTCGCCGCTGCGCTAGACTCGTATCTGTCAGGCGAACCGTCGATCTGCGGGTCGCGCGTTTGGGTCTCCGCCGTCGCTCTGCACCGCTCTTTGCCGATATCCTTTTAGTGCAGCGATTTTTTGCGTTAGTACAAGTCGCTCTCTGCGTGAGATTTGGATTTCAGGGACATTTGACCCATCTTGCCAGAGATTCGACGCGACGAGTATGGCGGATCAGGAGAAGAAGGGAGATACGCTGGTGCAGCAGGCCGATAAGAAGCTTAAGGGATGGGCCTTTTTTGGCGGGAAATACGACGAGGCTGCAGAGCTATTGGAGAAAGCCGCGACATCGTACAAGGTCGCTAAAGCGTGTAAGTCCATTCATCCGTCGCATGCGAAAGGCGTGCGACGTTACCGGCAGGCGACATCCTTTCGCACGGGTTGGCGAACTTGGCGACAAATTCTATTGTGATCGCATGATCGCGAGCGATTGCCATGACGTCTTAATTTTAGGCGCTTCGTGATGTACGAGTCATGTCCGAAGACAATGGTCTCTCCTTATCTGGATGTTCTCCAAACATAATCAGATCTCAGGGACGTGATCTGCAACATCAGAAATTGCTTGTGTTTCGTATCACGATGTTGGACGTGTTCCTGACTTTGATTGTGTTTTGTCCTCATTTTTCTGGCGTTCTTACCAAATTTCGACATCTGGCAGCATTTTTTTTATACATTTTTTCACTCATCTTCCCCTGACATATATCCCTGTGTTCATGTTTGCATGCGCACATGACTAAATGCCTGCGTGTGTGCGCGTCTGCATGTGTTCATGCGTGCATGTCGGCATGCATGCATGTCCCTTTGTCATCATGCTGCATCTCCGCGTGTCCGTATGTTCGCATGCTTGCACACCCGCGTGCGTGGTGCATGCTGGCAGGGGACAAAGCGGCGGATGTATACTGCCGTCTATCAGAAATTCAGCTCAAGGTGCGAAGATCGAACGGACCCTGCAACTGCTGTAGCAAGTCCCGTCTTATCCTTCCCTCTCTCCGCGCCTCTCCTTTTGATCCGTGCCTCCTCCGCCACTCCATCGCCCATCTAGAATCCTCGTCGTCCATCCCTTCTCGCCGCGATGGCTATCCATCACGCTTTCTAATCTCAAGTTTTTGCAACGATCTCCTTCTTCCTCTTCATCTTCCTCGCGGATCGCATCCATTGTCTCAACCTGCCACCCGATCCCATGCGTCACTTCTGAAACCACGTGGCGTCTTCTCACCAGCGCAACCCCCTTGCGTCATCCCCCTGCGTCACCCCCCTGCGTCATCCCCCTGCATCACCCCCCTGTGTCACGCCCCGTGCGTCAATGATTCCCCCACGTCACCCTCCCCCCGGCCGCGGCAGCACCTGGACAGCTCGCACGAGGCGGCGTCCGCGCTCATCGAGGCCAGTAACGCGCTCAAGAAGACCAGACCCGCCGGTGAGGGGGGCGTTGCGCCTGTCTGGGAGGAACTGTGCCGGTCAGGGGGGCATTGCGTCGGTTAGGGGGGCATTGCGCCGGTCAGGGGGGCACTGCGCGGGTTATGGGGCATTGACGCAATGAGGAGGGCAGTGCGATAGCCAGGTTGGGCACTGCCGCGGTAGGGGGGGCACTGCCGCGGAGAGGGGGACGATGCGCTGGTCATGGGGGCACAACGGCAGTGAAGGGGGCACTGTGGCGGTCAGGGGGCAAGGATGGGGTGCTTCTTGCAGTGTGAAGGGTGGCCCAGCGGTTAGGCAGTGGTTTGCAGGATGTGGGAGGGTGTCTGCATCAAAACAACAGCAGCCGTCGCGCCCTGACTGTTTGCCAATTTTTGAGTCGACTCAAAAATACGCCCTGTCTGTTTGCCACCCATGCCAGTGCCTGTGTGCCTGTAAAGTTTCTGAATATGTGTCTTTACATAGCTGATCCTTACAGGGATGGCTGCGTCAACCTGTGGCTTTGACTCCCATCTTCTGTTTCTTCGCATGATCGCATGCAGAACATGCATATGCATGTGTACCCATCTACATACTGAATATTACTGGTTCTTCCTGTCACATCCGCACACATGCCTGCCCATCCCTGCATATGCATGCATGCACACCGATCCACATCCATGCACATGCTCACACATCCATGCACATCCATGCACATGCTCACACATTTATGCACATCCATGCACATGCTCACACATCCATGCACATCCATGCACATACACACACATACACACACATGCATACACATGCGTGCGCAACAGCGGCGAAGGAGCGGCTGAAGGAGGCCATAGACCTGTTCATTGACAACGGCAGGCTCAGCATGGCAGCACGCCACTGCAAGGTGACACACCACTGCCAATCTCTTCCTCTTTCTCCCCGCCATTCCCTCGTATATCTCTTGCACCCAGCAGTTGAATCTTGATGCCTGACTGGTGCACACTGGTGCGCACACACCCCCTCCACTGACCTTCACTTCCGCCCAGTCAGTGTCAATCAAGCATTGCAACATGGCTTGCTTTGAGCTCGTATACCCCCTCCTTTTTCCGCCCATTCCCTGCACCTCACTCCTTGGCCCCCCCTTTCCCCCCCTTCTCCTAGGTCCTCAGGACCTGGCAGAGATGTAAGAGAAGGAGGAGGACGCGGCAAACGCGGTGATCTGGTGTTGAGGTGCTAGACAATCAGCTTTCTCCCTCTCCCCTCGCCCCCACTTCTCCCCCCATCCCGTTCACACCCTCCCCCCAGGACCTGGCGGAGATGTACGAGAAGGAGGAGGACGCGGCGAACGCAGTGATCTGGTTTGGGCGTGCGGCTGACTTCTATCAGACGGAGAACGCCAACACGAGCGTGAACCAGATGAAGCTCAAGGTCGCCGAGTACTCTGCCCTCAATGCTGAGTACGTAGGGGCGGAGAGAGGGACGGTGGGGTGAGGGGCTTTGGGGAAAGAGGGGGGGGGAGGGGTGAGAAGGGGTGAGGAGAGGGACGGGGGTTGAGGGAGGGGGGATGTGAAGGGGAGGTGAGGGATGAAGGGTGCATGGGAGGGGGATATGGGAGAGGAGTATTTTTAGGATTTAGTTGAACAAAACACATCGGCACATTTCTAACCCCCACACACGCGCTTGTCCAACCCTCACACTGCAATTCAACGTGGCCCTACCCCACTCTCCACCCCATACAAACCCCACCTCCAGCCGGTCCCCCTATCCCGCCTCCCACACCACCCCCATCCTGCACCATGGCCCCTGCACCCCCGACTCCCCTATCCTCACTCCCCTCTCCCCGCTCCCCACTTCTCAACTCCACACCCACTCCCCACCCCCACCCCCACCCCCTCCGTCCGCCCTTCAGCTACGCAGCAGCGATAGAGATCTACGAGCAGGTGGCGCGGGACTCACTGAGCAGCAACCTGCTCAAGTACAGCGTGAAGAACTACCTCCTCAACGCCGGCATCTGCCAGCTCTGCCGCGCCGACACCGTTGCTGTCAACAACGCCCTCGACAAGTACCAGGTGCAGTGCGGTGGAGTGAGGTGGGGTGAGGTATGGGCTGCTGCTGCCCTTGCTTCTGTGTTAGTCTGTCTATGCCAACTTTTTGCTTCTCTCCTCCATCCTTTGCCCACCCCATTGCCACTTCGCCCTCCCACAAGGCCTTGCATTGCTCTGTGTGTGTGTATGTGCCCTGTCATGCTTCGAACAGGAGATGGACCCGACTTTTTCCGACACAAGGGAGTTTAAACTGCTATCAGTAAGCTGCCAATGCCTCTCTTACTTCTCTCGCTCCTTTCTCCCTTCTCCTTCCATCCGCATCTCTCCCCTCCTTCCTCTCCCTCATTCTATTCCTTCATTATGTTTCCAATATCCCTCCTTTTGTCCGCTTGTTTTCCTCCTCTCCCTCTCCTCTCGCTCCTCTGTCTATTCTCCATCTCCCATCAACACTATAAGCCCCCATCGACCACCAGCTGACCAGAATTCAGTGGTTTTCCATGTTTTGGTGCTCTGACCATGCCTGCCGCACACCACAGTAGTGCTTTTTTCATTTCCCTTTCTCTCTGCTCGTTCACCTTTCTCCCTCCCCACTCCCTCTCCGTCCACCCCCTACCCTTTTCACTGTCTGTGCTGTCTGCCAGAGCCTAGCACAGGCAGCGGAGGAAGGGGATGCAGAGGCGTTCACAGATGCTATCAAGGAGTTTGACAACATTACGCGCCTCGTAAGCCCTGCTGCCTGGATACCCTCAATGCTGCCCTTGCACACCCACATACGTTTATAGCCTGACGCCCAACCTGTCTGCCCACATGCCTCCGTGTCAATACGTCCATATTTTGAGATGCCCATATGCTCTTATGTCATCCCTTACAAGGCATTGGCCTGACTTGTTCCCTCCATGACTCTTTCCTTGCACCTTCACTGCTTCAAGAGCTTTCGCCCTTTCCACAAATTAACGAGTGTTTCTGCTGTTTGCTGGAAGAGCTCTATTCCTGCTCTCTTCATATTATCGTTGTATTGCATGTTTTGAATTTCCCCCTCCAGGACTCCTGGAAGACAACACTGCTACTGCGAGCGAAGAATTCAGTGAAGGATGAAGAACCTCTTACATAAGCTGTCAGCGTGTCGCATTAGTTTTGTCAAGTTCCTGCTCTTGTGACATTGGAGAACATGTTAGAGTGGATTCGTTTCTGTCCATATCCACGCGTTCTCTCCTGATCAGATGTGGGTTGTGTGCTGCTAGTGCGCTCTTGTTAAAAGTAGAAGGTATGGAATTTCATGAAGGCAGTCTTAGTAATGCTGCTCAGTGTATGAATATTGCTTTTAGAATGTCATCCTGATATGCTGTACGAGTAGCCCAAAAAGATCCGGTTCCCTTCCCAGATATGGTTGGGTGAGTGCTCTCCAACTTATCATGACGTGGCAGGTGAAAGTTCCTTCTGGCATGGCAGGGCAGGGCACCACCTAACCGAAGCGGGCCGAAAAGTGCCCTGCCCCGCAGCAGCACAGCACACCACCGCGTCAGACAACGAGCTGACTGACCAGGCAAGGGACACGCGGCACGTTGCGCAAGCAAGGAAGAATTCTTCCCGCGCCAACTTTCTCTCCCTCCCCCAACCCCCACCCACCGAACCCCGCATCATCCCCCAAGCCCCCATGTTTCTCCGCCTCCCTTTCACGCGCTTCACCCCGTTTCTCCTGAGCATCCGCCCCATCTCCGCGTTCTTTCCGCTCATCACATCTCGGGTCGGGCTGCGACTCCCCCTTTTTCTCTCCCCCGCCCTTCCCCATCGCACCCCGCCCCGCACACCACCACCAACATATAAAACCACATGTGCAAATTCACATCACATTGACACCCACCCGCCAGATCTTGCATTTTGGAACCTCGCATTAGCGCCCCTCCCTCTAGCCAAGAGCCTCTTTCGTTGTTCTCCTGAACCGAACCGCTCTTGGTTTCTTGCATGCAACATCGGCAAGGGCTTGACACGTGCCTGTCTCCGTCCACAAACCAACGCCACGAACCGCTTCTCGCCTGACGAAAAGCGCCGCGTTCGTGCTCTGGGTACAGAGCGAGAGGCAGGGCTTTTCCCTCCGCGGAATCATCAGCTCCGCGCGACCGCGCGCCAGCCCGCCAGCCACCACGGCGTCTTCCGCGCTCTCCGCGGCAGCAGCAGGGGCCCGCGTGGCCTCTGCTGCCCCTTCTGCGACTTTCAGGCATACTTTGCGCGATGGAGCTACAAGTGTCACCTGCGCGAATGCGAGTGTTAGTGCGAGCTTTACAAGTTCGACGCTTTCGGCGAGTTCGACGAGATTGCTGCATCGAGGGGAGTTCTTGAACGGGCGACGACTGGCCATGGCGAGCGCAGCTGTTGTTCCGACGGGAGGCGCGCAGGAGGAGGCAGGCTTAGGGAAAGCAGCAGAGACAACACACGTTGTTCCAGGTGAGGTGGATTTCCAAGAAAGAACACGTACGCATGGACTACTGAAGAACGCGTCTTGACTCTTGAGATTAGGAAGTGTGATAGGGAACAGCATGCCGGCTGAGATTTCGCGACGGTCATTCCTATGATCGTATTTGAGTCGCCGCCTTCCGTGGCATCGAAGCCACCGCAGCGTTCCAAGTATTTCAGATCGTATTGAGTGCGCCATCGTTGCCGCGCCCGTGTTTCTCGCTCAAAAGCACCCGTGTTTGCATCAGTTTCGCGCAGCAGGCTTCCTTCTCGTGCCGCTTATTTGTCCGCCGCTTTCCCGTCCGCTGCTTTTCGTTGCCCACTTCTCTTTCCCCCTCCCCCCTTCCCCCATCCCCCCCTCCTTTTCCCCCGCCTCCCCTGTCTGTCATGTCAGTGCAAGCAACGGCGATCCATGACACCCACAAGATCCACGTGGCATCGCCGGACGACGCGGCGCATCGCCCGGCGGTGCCCGTGCGGTCGCACGACATGCTCGCGCCGTTCACCGCGGCGCACCAGTTCACCGACGCGCACCCGCTCGTTATAGTCAAGTCCGAGGGCGTGTACATCTGGGACAGCGACGGGCGGCGGTATTTGGACGGACTCGCGGGGCTGTGGAGCACGGCGCTGGGCGGCAACGAGCAGCGGCTGATCGACGCGGCGGACGCGCAGATGAAGAAGCTTCCGTTCTACCACTCCTTCTGGAATCGCGCCACGGAGCCCGCCATGGAGCTCGCTAAGGTGCGGCGCGTCGCGCTTAGGACGTGTCGCTGTTGGTGTATCTCCCATCCGTTCCCCGTTAACGACGCCTTCGCTCTCACCTCTTCTTGCTGCAACTTTTATGCAATACATCACCCCAAATATTCCCGCCCCCTTTCCCTTTTCCCTCTCCCTTCCCCCACTCTCCCCTCTCCGCTCTCAAAAACTCTTTAAGTCAGAATAAAAACATGTTCTCCTCTCCCGTCTCCCCCTACCGCCGGCTGCGCAGGAGCTGACGGGCATGTTCACAGCGGAGCGCATGGGGCAGGTGTTCTTCACCAACAGCGGCTCCGATGCTAATGACACCCAGGTGAGGTTTGAGACGTCTCAAAAGGCAGGTGTTCTTCACCAACAGCGGCTCCGATGCTAATGACACCCAGGTGGGCTGCTAGGCTGCTGTGCGCTGATCAGGTGGGCTCAGGTGGGCTTCTTAGAACTCTCAAACGCAGCATTGGCTGCGCGCTGTTTAGGTGTGCGGCGGACCTTCGGCTTCAACTTTATAGGCGCAAGAAAAGGGAAGAAGGAGATGGAGAAGAGGAAGGGAAAAAAGCATCAGAGACACCCCCTTCCACCCCACCTCCTCTCCAAGAGCTGCTGTTTTTTTTAGAACGAACTACAACAACACTTCACGAAACCCGACCAACATGCCGCCATCCCCCTCCTCCACTCCCCCCATCCCCGTATCCCCCTCTCCTGCCTGCAGGTGAAGCTAGTGTGGTACTACAACAACGCGTTGGGGCGGCCGAACAAGAAGAAGTTCATTGCGCGCGACAAGGCGTACCACGGCTCCACCCTCGTCTCCGCCAGCCTCACGGGGCTCTCCCCGCTGCACAAGAGGTTGGTGTTTTGTGGGAAAGGGGGGTGTTGGGCAGGACTAGATGGGGGATGGGAAAGGGGGGACAAGGGGTATCACGGCTCCACTCTCGTGTCTGCCAGCCTCACGGGGCTCTCCCCGCTGCACAAGAGGTGCGCGGGCAGGGGCGGGTGGGGAGACGGGTAGGGGTGCACCGGATGGGACAGGGGTGAGGGAAGAGGGCACAAGGCGTACCACGGCTCCACTCTTCGTCTCCGAACCAGCCTCCCCGCTGCACAAGAGGTGCGGGGGCATAGCTGGGGATATGGGCGTGCGGGGGGATGGCCGGGGAGAGGGAAGGGGGGGGCTATGCGACAGATTAGATGGGACAGAGTGCACACGCGTATCAAATCTCCGAGCCTGTATCACCACCCCCTATCCCTCTGGTCCTGTCTCCCGCTCCCATACTTTGTACTCCCTAAAGACTCCCCGTTTTACAATCATACAACTCTTCCCGTTTCTCTCCCCCCACCCTCCCTCCCGCTTCTCCTCCCCTCGCTCCCCCTGCAGCTTCGACCTGCCAGTGGACTTTGTACTCCATACAGACTGCCCCCACTACTGGCGCTACGGCCGCCCAGGAGAAACCGAGCAGGAGTACAGCACTCGCCTGGCCGAGAGCCTAGAAGCTCTCATAGAGCGCGAGGGCGCTGATACCATCGCAGCCTTTATCGCCGAGCCAGTCATGGGCGCAGGGGGCGTCATCCCCCCGCCCGCAGGGTACTTTGAGAAAGTCCAGGCGATTCTGCGCAAGCACGATATCCTCTTTATAGTCGACGAGGTGGTGTGCGGGTTCGGGCGCCTGGGGACCATGTTCGGCAGCGACCTCTACGACTTAAAGCCCGACCTCGTGACTCTCGCCAAGGCGCTTTCGTCTGCGTACATGCCGATCGGCGCGGTGATGATCAGTCAGAGGATTGCGCACGAGGTGGCGGCGCATAGCAACAAGATGGGGAGCTTTGCGCACGGGTTCACTTACTCGGGCCACCCTGTGGCGTGTGCTGTGGCGCTGGAGGCCGTGAGGATCTACCAGGAGATGGATGTGGCGTCGGTTGTTCAGGCTGCTGAGCCGCTCTTCCAGGTGAGCAGAGGGGGGAGGGGAGGTGGGGGAGGGGAAGGGGAAGAATGGGGGAGGGGGGAGGGGGAGTGGGTGGTGTTGGGCCGTTTGTTTTAGTGTGCGTGTGCCGTGTTTATTGTGTCCTCATCCTCCTCGCCTTCCCTTTTCCACCCCCTCACACCCCATTCCACCATGTCCCCTTATCCTCACTCCCTCTCCTCCCCCACACACAAATACAGGGAGGCATAAGGCACATCTGCCGCAACAGCCCCATAGTGGGGGAGGTGCGAGGGCAGGGCCTCATACTCGCTATAGAGCTCGCAGACCCCATCACCAAGGAGTCCTTCCCATCGTCGTGGGCCGTGGGGCCCTTCTTTGGGCAGTGTGCGGCAGCGCACGGATTGATTGTGCGCACCATTGGCGATGTCATTGCCATGTCGCCCGCTCTCGTCATTACTCCCGGGGAGATTCAGGTGCGGAGGGGAGTGAAAGGTCGGGTAAACTGATAGGTGGCTTACCGTTTCGTTCTTGTGGGGAAAGCGAGGGGGGCGGATGTTGGAGAGGAGTGTGAGTGGGGAGAGGGTGGGGGGAAGGGTGAGGGGAGATGGGGCTCTGGGTGCAGGGTGCTGATTGTGCTTGTGCGTGCATGTGCGTGTCTTTCTTGCCAGCATCTCCCTCTGTGTGTGCTCACGCTGTGTGCTTGCACGTGTGTGATGTATCGTGTCCACAGGAGCTCCTGTCTGTCATCCGCCTTGCACTCAAGGAGACAGAGGCCTACGTGCAATCCAAACTGGACATGGACTGACACATCAGCTGCTGTGAAATTGACAATCATGGATGTGGAGTGGTAATGAGTGGATTTGACAAGGACACTGTTGGAATTACAGCCGTGTTACCGGTGCCACCAGTGCTTTAGGACCACTGCCAGATGCACCCTGTTTTGCGTGCCTTGTTAGGACATGCTTTGCGTACATGCGTGCTGCTCATGTTCGATAGGTTTGAAGCACTGAGCAATGTTGCGCCACCTTGGTTACTTGCTGAAATGTTGAATGTATGTACCGTACACAAAGATGATGGTTGCTGGGAATGGCCCTCGCATGGAAACTCTCCAACATACCGTGTGGTTGATGTTAATTGAAATTGCAGTATCATAAACAAAGTAGGCTAGTACATCCAATACTATCCCTGGTGTATAGTCATTACATGCGTTAAACCTACCTGAACAAACCAAAACCCCTACCAAATCCCACAAAAATTGCACAACCCCTGCTGTTGGAATGTGCTTTGAAGCCGAGCTGTACATGAGCTTGCGATGCGACAGGCCCCAGCAAGCAGGCAGGCAGGGCGGCAATTCAATGCAAACCACTCACACACCACCTCGCAGGTTGTGTCGTGGTTCTCTCTGTCCTTGCCTCTTCCTCTGCCTCTGCAAGCCACGACAGAACCTGCCTGCAGCTAGCAGCACACTGCGCCTCACCTGCACGTCTGACGCATGCACATGCACATGCACTTGCACATGCACATGCACTTGCACACAAACCCTCAACATGCTTGTCATTCACACTCCCCTTGCCCACACCCTCTGCTCACCCTCCCCTCTCATCTTCACACCCCTCCTTCATTCCTCCCCACTTGACCCCCCTTTTTCCTCACATTACTCGAGCCATGGAGCGTCATCACATTACCTACCTCGAGGAGCCATCATGCTACTCTTGAAAAGAGAGTGCTTGCCGCACAAGCGACATCTGAGATGACGACACACCACCCACACCACCCACACCACCCACACCACCACAACCAACACCCTCGCCCTCTGATTTGCTTCCTCCTCCCGCACCTCCCTTTTCACTGCCCTTGGTGGCCCCACCACTGCTCCTGCCACTCCCGCAACTCCTGCCACCTCTCCTGCTCCCACTCCTGCTGCTCCTGCTGGTGCTGCCACCACTGCTAGAACTGGTACTGCCTGAGCCCTTGAGCCTAGGCACAGGGAACGCCCGCTGGAAGAAGGTGGTCAGCACAGGAGAGTGCGTACCCAGGGCGACCAGGCACTTGGCTGCAGAGAGGGACGTGGATCGGGTCTGCTGGTTCCCTGCCGCACTCCCTGCTCTCTCCTGTGCTTTCTCCCCTGCCGTGTGTGACACCTCAACCACCATGGGTGCTTCAGTTAATCCCAGGGCACTTGCGACTTGGCTGCTGGCAGATCTGGCTCGTGTTGTCTCTAGGGTCTCTAGGCCTTTCGCGCTGCCCAAAACTGCTGCGTCCTCACAATCCTCCCCTGCAGAGCCTTGCTTCTCGTCTCCTCCTTCAATAGGCACCAGGGGTGGTGTCAGGAAGACCTGTTTCCCATCCACAGCAACAGCCAACGCAGTTGCTTCAGCAGCAGCAGCCGCAGCAGCGTCACTGCTGCAGGTGCCAGCAATCTGCTTCCTGGTCTGCCGTTTGCTGCAGCCACTGTTGCGGCTCTTGACACTCTTGCCACTCATGCCGCTGCCACAGGTGCTTGAGCTGTTGCATCGCTTACGCCTCCCTCCACCCATGCTCGCTCTGCTGCCTTGCAGTGAGTCACCGGCAGCCTTCGTTCCACCCTCACCATTACCATCATCAGGAACAGCAGCGTCAGTGGGAACAACAGCAGCGGCAGCGACAGGGGGAGCAGCAACGGTAGCCGCAGGGGGAGCAGCAGCAGCAGCCACAGGGGGAGCAGCAGCAGCAGCAGCAGCAGAGGAAGTAGCAGGGGCAGCAACAGCAGCAAAAGCAGCAGCCCCATCGGCAGAAGCATCAGCAGCAGCCGCCGCAGCAGCAGCCACAGCAGCAGCAGCAGCAACATCAACCAACAGCGGTCCATCAGATTCCCCAACCGGCTCCACTCTTCTGCTCAGACCTTCGCTGCATCCTTCCCCTTCCTCCCTCTCCTCCCCTTCCCCGTCCCCATGCCCTGCACTCTTCCGCGTCTTACTCCGAGTCATCCTCCCTGACTCATAACTCCTTCCCTGGCTCTCCCCTGCTCTCTTCCGTCCCTTGCGCTCCGCTCCTGGTCTTCCCGATTCAACCAGCCCCTCCCTCTCACTCATACCACTATCACACATACCCTTGCTCCTGCTCCTGCTCCTGCCACTCCTCATCCCTGCAGCAGTATCACCAGCCCCAGCAGCATAGGCACCAGCATGTGAGCCGTCATCATCACCACCATCACCACCACCACCACCGCCGCTGCCGCCGTCGCCACCACCGCCAGTTGCAGCACCGGCATCACTGACAAGTCCGTTACCCTCCGCAACCCCCACTCCCGCATCTCTCGTTGGCGCAGCGCCTTCGCCTTCTTCGTCCGCGCGCCTCTCCGCCTGCGCTTGCGTCAGCGCGCGGAGGCTACGCGCGCGCAGCCTCTGAATCATGTCCAGCAAGTCGACGCCGCTTCCACCACCTGCACTGCTCTGCTCTCGGACTCTTCCGCCATCCGCGCTGCTCTCCTCCCGGCCTTTCCCGCCATCTGCACTTTGCTCCTCTAAGCGTCCTTCCCCGCATGCGCCCATCCCCCTCCCGCCTCCTCCATCCTCACCCCCCGTCACAATGTTCTCTGCGAAGTTTCTACCCGAAGTTTCATGTCCTAATCCAGCCCCCTCTTCTTCTTTTGCACCGATCACTCGGCTACGCACTGCCACGGTTGCACTCTCTCCCCCACTCTCGCCGCCCACAGAGTTGTTGCCCTTGGTGATGGTTGCGCCAGGGGCCAGCGATTTGGGATGATTGTTGTTTGAACTTTGGGAGCAAACAGTCGCGGCGCATTGCACGGGGACAGAGGCATGTGAGCTGGATTGGGAAGATATTGTAATTGCTGTTGCTGCTTGTGGTGGTGACGCTGTTGCTGCGGGCGCACTTAAAGCTGCTACTTGTTCTGCTTCTTCCTTCCTTTCTTCTTCTTCCACCCCTGCTGATTGGGAAGATATTGTTATTGCTGTTGCTGCTTGTGGTGGTGACGCTGTTGCTGCTGGCGCACTTAAAGCTGGTCCTTGTTCTGCTTCCTTCCTTTCTACTTCTTCCGCCGCAGCTGATGGTGATGCTGCTGCTGGCGCTGCTGCTGCAAGTTCTGCTGAAGCTGCCTTCCCTTCTTCTGCTGCTGCTACCGATGGTGGCGCTGCTGCGGATGCTGCTGTTTCTTCTTGAAGTGATTCTGCTGCAACTGCTGCTGCTGGTGCGATTACTGCTTTCTCCTCGTTTACTGAATCATCACCTCTCGCTTCTGCTGCTGCTGCTGCTGCTGATGGTGCTCCTGATAGCAGCACTGGTGATGCGGGTTCTGCTGGTTCCACTCCAGCGTCTACAGGCCAGTGAGTGATGGAGATGCTGGGAACAGCAGGAGGCGGCGAAGCACAAGGGCCGGGGCCCAAATTCATAGCACCTTCCTGGCCATTTCCTTGAGTGCAACCCTTCATCGCATCTGTGCAATCCCCCCGTGCCTCCTCTGCCGAAGCCTGACCCGAACCAGCCGCGGCAGCAGCAGCAGCAACAGTTTCAGTGGCAGCCGGAGGAGCAGAAGAAGGTAGCGGCGCCGTTTCAGCGGGTTCGCAGGCGGAAGGCGCGGGGGGGAGCGCCACGGAGGTGGATGGGGGAGCGGACTCGTCAGCGTGGCGGCGGAGGGAGTCGAGGATCTGGCGGAGGAGCGCTCGCCCCGCCTACGATGAAAAGGGGAGCGGGAACGGAGAGGGGAAGGGGGAAGAGGAGGATGGCGGGGAGAGGGGGAGGAGGGGGAGGGGGGCATGAGGAGGAAACGGACAAGCGCGCAACGCAACGACGTAGCATGGCAAAGGAAGGAAATAGACGGTTTTCTTACGCAAGATTTGTCAGTTCGCAGTGACCGTTCATCAATCAATCAATCCTGTACCCTCTATCCTCCGTCAATCGACCAAGCAGTCATGCTCACCTCGTCTATCACAGTGTGCTCGAAGCACCGCAGCATGTCCCTCAGCTTCTCATTCTCCTGCCGCACATCTTCCGCCACCGCCTCCGCGCGCTTCTTCTCCTCCTCCGCAAGCCGCCGCTTCTCCGCCGCCTCTCGCGCAACTCGCCTCCACTCCTCCGCCCCGGGTGGGCCGGCGCCTCCGCAACGCTCTTCCGCCGACTGCTGCCCACCTCCCACCGCCAACACCCGCGCATCTACCTCATCTGGCTGGATCCTTGCAGAGCGGTTTTCTTGATCAGGCATCAAGCCTCGACCGGTGCCTGAGTCCAAGTCCAGCCTGACTGCCATATCGCCCTTCACGACCTCATCATCTGCCACTGCTGGACACAAATCAGCGGTATCGCATGCGGGAACGGTTGCTGTAGGCAGAGGTGTGCGGGGCAGCAGGTGCCGCGCGGGCGGAGGAATCGCCAGCGCAGCCTGGAGCATAGCGTCGTCGTCGTGCGATGGCACCGTCGCACAGTTCGCAGGAGACGGCGTCGCTATGTTCGTAGGGATGTTCAAGCTCCTCGCTGGCGAGCTAAGGGCGACAGGGTGCTCTCCGTACTCAATGGGCAACGCCGCCTGCTCGCTCGGCGCGCATTTAGCATCATTCGTCTCTCCCGGTTCCCCTCCTTCCACTCGGTTACGTTCCTGATTCCCTTTCGATCCGGCCACTCCAACCGATTCCTCTTTCTCCTCCGCCTTATGCGTCGAAACCCGAGGGGATTTTCCTTGCACGACAATCACTGGGGGTTCGCTTAACACAGCCTCCACTCCTTCGTTTGCAAGCACAACCTGTCTCTTGATCAGTTCGCCAAGGCTCTCCACACAGCGTTGTCGGTCCCGCTTGGCCTGAATCTGCAACCGCCAACAATAGTGGGGAACGAGAGGCGAGTTTAGCGGTAGAGGGGTCTCCACAAAACCCATTTGACGAAGAAAAAGGCGAGAAAACAAAACGGCGCAGTAAATTTCTCCGGGAAGTCATTGACAACAAGATTGTGTAACGAGTGAGGCTGCCGTGCCTGGCAGCGAGGAGCGACGCACCTTGCTAAATTCGGCTCGGAGCTGCTGGATTGCTAGCTTCCGAGATAGTAGTTTTTTCCTTGCGTCTGCTGCGGCTGATCGACGATGAAATGGCATGTCGTGAAGAGGATGAAGCCCGATGGACAAAGATCCGTGAAGAGGACAACCAACAAGACCGTCAAAAGGTTAGGCAGATTATCTGGAAACCAGGGTGAAACGCCAAGCGTTTAATCATCCAACAGAGAGTGCTGGAAACAACGCATCAGCTATTTTTCTTCGGTGCCTAATTTAATCCACCACCTGACTCACAATCAACTCTGCAGAAAACTTCCAAGACCAAGTGAATCTTGGCGAAATCTCTCACCTAATTCTCCCTTCTTGGCAACCAGTCTGAGCTTATGGACCCCGTCTTCCACGGCCGAATAGGCATCTTCAACATGCCTAGCCAAAGCCTCCAGAGAGCTCCGCTTGCTGGCCTGTCGCACGGGCAAAAGAATCACGTCAGTTCATCCACTTTAGTAGCGTAATTTTCCACGTTCTATTAATAATAGACGAACTCCCGCATAATACAAAGAGGTATGGCAAGCATACACGATTGATTTCAATATCCCACCTGCTCCCACTGTCTTTCGCGAGATTGGCCTTCCACTTGCATCGCTCGCTGTACCGCCGCTCCCGCGAGGCTGACGGACATAGCATGCTGCAAAAGGAGCTCCTGCTGTCGAATGAGCTCCTTTGTATGTTCGCTCACCGCTGCTCCTGCCTGCTTAGCAGACTGTCGGCTCCAGAAGTCGGCCCTCGAACGTTTCTTCGGCAGGCGAATTCCCAGTTCTCGGCACTGTCTCGAAAAAGGGCTATCCATGGCTGCACTGATGCGCTGCGGATGCTGGCTGGTTTCTGTCATGCTCGAGACTCTTATTCTGCTAGATCCTTAAGATACGTAACTGAACGTGTCAGGTGAGTACCCGTCAAATACAGGCTTCCAATCTTTCCACCCAATGCCAAGATGAAAATGTTACTAGCAAGGTTTCTTTCTACAACTGCATCGCGGATGATTAGAGCTGCCTCGCTTGATTGTCGCTCCTGGTCCCACAGTTTGGTCTTCTCGAGGTTGGAGTCTTCGAGGCTTGAAATTTGCTATGCAACAGACATCGAGGTTATCACAGAAATGCTTCTTTCCAACCTTGGGAGTGGCCTCAATGATGCTTGAACAGCAAATATTGCATCCCAGTGCAGCAATCACCTGTCGCAGCGCGTCAAACTCCAAGGAATTTCGCGCGGAACACTGGCACGCGGTCCGAGACCAACCCAGTCAGTCCTCGAGGAAAATGCTTCGGAAGGGAAAAATGCTTTACAGTGTCAAGTCTAAGCCACATTCATTTGGCTCCTCAAGATGTTAAATGCTTCACATATAATCATAACTTAGGAGACTGAATCTGAGTCCATTTGCTTTTGATGGGTCGTCACCAGCCATAGTACGGTAGAAACATCTCCATAGGAGGGACACTAGGCAAATCGGACAATGTGATATAAACCAAAAGAACACGAAGGCATTACAGGCACATCACATCCTCTGAACAAATGGCCTACAACCCAGCACCCACCCCAACCCTATCACCCACCGCCACTGCTCTTTCCTCAGCTGAGCAGTAGGGACAAGCTTGTATCCCCAGCCTGTATTCCCAGCAGCAACCTTCGTTGTCCAGTGTCTACTTGCTCTTCCTAGTGGTGCCCTTGGGCAGCACCTGCTTGAAGTTCACCTTGGAGCTGTACAGCCCAGCGGCCTTCCAGTTGGGGGGAATCACTTTGTCGAGGGTGATCTTCTCGAGCGTGTGCGGCGCCGTGAGGCGAACGCTCATGGCCTTCTTGGCACCCACCACCTGCTTGGCGTTCGCGCCCTCCACGACCCACACGGCTTTGATGCCGTCGCGCGTGAGGTTCACCCACTTGCTGCCGTCCGCGCTCAGCTCCACCTGCGACAGCGTGCCGGGGCCCGCTAGCCCCACCAGCTGGATCTTGAACTTGTCGGCCGTCGCGTCGCGTCGCACGCGCACGGCGGAGCCCACGGTAGACACGCACGACGTGCGCTTGTACGTGATGTTCACGGGGCTCGCCTCGTCGCCCTTCACGATCTTGCCCCACGCCACCCGCGACAGCGACAGCTGCTTCGCCGCCTTGCTCTCGCCCACCACGCGCACCGTCACCGCCGCCTTGTCTCCGTGGCACCGCTTCGTGTCGTTGGCGCACTTGACGAGGTAGCACGCGCCGCACCGCTTGAACCACGTCTCGGGCGGCAGCGTGGCGGTGAGCCCCTTGCCGAAGTACGGGTTGCTGGTGTAGTTGCCGTAATACTCGCACGACGTCGCGTTCCCCACGCCCCCGCTCTTGCTCAGCTTCGCCGTTCCCGCCAGAGCCTCTTTCCCATGCCCGGCAGTCGCGTTGCCAGCAGTCGCGTTGCCGGCAGTCGCGGTCGCGTTTGCGGGTTTCGCAGCAGTTGCGTTAGCAGGCTTGGCAGCAGTGGCGTTAGCGGGTTTCGCTGTCGAGTTTCCAGCACTGGCGTTGGCGGGTTTCGCAGCGTCGGCAGCCGCGGCGGCCCCGCGCGCAGGGGCGGAGAGCAGCAGCGCAGCTGCGATGCAGGCGAGGAGGAATAAGGCCTTGGCGGCGCTGTCGCTGAGACGAGCCATGGCGATCAGATCGAGAGTCGCGGAGAGAACCGGTAACGTTAAGTTGTGCTGATGTGAGAGGATTTTAGAATCGGGGCAGTAGTATTGCTACTCGTTGTATTGGTGATGAAACAAGCAGCATTGCGGTGATTTTATATCGTTTGCACCACCGACGGCTTTGGGCTCGTTCGTGATGTCGAGTCGGGCCATCGTCGATTTCCGCGCTTCGGTCGTGATTATCGCTCGTATGGAAGGCTCGCCGTGAGTAGCGGCTGTACGAGGTTGCTGTTGCGTGTCCTGCTCTGCCGTCGACTCTTCGGCGATTATGGGCTCCAAGGGATTTCGCGCAGCTTGACTGTTCCGTCAGTCTGGTCTGTATGGGAATAATGTTGGCGTGAGGAGAGTAAAGCATGGGCTCTCACACACACTGGCCCACCCCCACTCGTTCCCGTTGCGAATTGGCAGCTTGTTTGTTTTGGCCGCCACACACGGCGATAAATTATTTGCGACAGCGTGTCTGCGTTACTATCAAAACATTGGAGAGTGTACAGAAACTGGAAAGGGATGCGGCAATGTACATTCTTCAAAACGTTATTTTCAAACCAATTTTGAGAACTGTGATATTCCAATCTCACAAACGCAGACAGCTGGGAAGATTGTGGCACCAGGAACACTGGCAGGTAGCAGGGATAGACGGAACTTTCTCTACCTAGGTCTGCCATTGGTAAGGAAGGTAAATGTATAAACAATTGACTAGATAATGTACACAAAACGACATGCCCAATGTACATGCCAGGAATTGCTCTCTACTAGGGGCACGGCTGTACCCATCACGGTATCACTCCACATATTCCACGGGGAGATTCGCTTTGAGGTAGTCATACACCCCACCCTCAATGTGGCGAACATTCTTATATCCGTTCTTCACGAGTACATTAGCCGCGTTTAAAGACCTGCACATGCGAGCAGATAGTGAAGGTGTCATGGTATGATGTGTGTGCGACAAAACCGGAAACGGTGAATATAGACTGTATTTATCGAATTGCATTGCATGCATCTCGGGGGCAATCATGTTGCACACATACACACCTCGATTCCTTGCCATATGGGAAGTTCTGAGTGGGCTTTAGTGTGCCGCCCGGCATGCACGCCAGGATGATGGGGGTCTCTTTGTCTGGTACCGCTGCCTGCACCTCTGCTTGCACCAGGGGAGTTTTAAGATGAGGAGCGGGGTCAGGGGAGTGGGAACGGGAGGGAGGTAAGAGGAAGGGGGATTGGGAGGACGAGGGTGGCTGGGAGGGAGGAGAACTGAATGACGGCAATTTGATATTCTCCTCCCGTCCTTCCACGCTATTTACGCTTCCCAACCCCTCACGCCACCCATATCCACACAACCCGCCGCAGAACACATCCCTCCTCCAAACCCCTTACCCTCTCCCTTCCTCTCCCACCCGCCCTCCGTCTTTCACACCAAGCTGCAGCATGCACACAACTCACCAAGTTCTAAGCCTCGCGATCCCCCCTATCCCATTCTCCTTCGTCGAGGCTGCGGTGCGCTTCTCTCCCTCTGGTTCCCCATCCGCCCTCCTCCGCTTTCCACACCCCACAGCGACGTGCAGCGAGCAGCAGAGCGTGCACAACTCGCGCGCAGGGAGTGTGTTGCATATGCATGACTTTCATGCATGAATTAGGACATGCCAGGACTCACGCGCGAGGAAGTCGGGGTTCTCCTCGGTGCCGTTGAGCACGCCAAAGAAGGCGAAGGCGGCGCGGCGCAGCACATGGTACGGCGTCCACTCCTTGATCAGCCGGTAGAATTCCACACCCACCGCGCCCTCGGGGTGCACCTACACGGACGAGGGAAGCCCGTGGTAAGGGGAAAAACAATGAGCATGCAAGAGGCAGCACGGGATACGACTCGTTTCTTTCGAATCCAGAAAGGACCAACTTCTTGATCGGCCAGTAGAATTCCACGCCCACCGCGCCCTCGGGGTGCACCTGCGCGCATGCGCATGGACACGCGCAGTTTGGGGGAACGGGGGGGTTGGGGAGGGCGAAGGTGACGGAGAGAGAGGGGTGGGAGCAGGTAAAGGGCGGGGGCGGGGATGGAAAGGTTGGGGGGGCGCAGGTGAGAGGTGAGCGGGTAAGGGCGGGAGGAGAAGAGGTGGCTAAGGAGGGGTAGAGGAGGGGAAGCTCGAGTAGACTGGAGGAAGTAATATGAACAGGTAGAGTGCTAAAGATGCTTCATCCACGCTTCATCCACGCTTCATCATACCAACAACAAGAGCCCTCTCCAGCCCCTTGATTCCCCCTTCCCCCTCCTCCCCGATCTCCACTCTCGCCCCGCATGCCCCACCCCACCTCGTTGTATTCCGCCACCGTTCTGACGTCAATGATGACGTGGCCCTCCTCCTTCGCCAGGCGCACGGCTTCCGCGGGCGACACGCCAACCACCTGGGGGAAGGGGACGGGAAACGGGTGAGAAAGCAAGGGAGAGGGGACGGGTGGGCGGAGGGAAGAGTGACGGGGAGGAGGAGGGATTGTTTGAGGCAACGTGAGTGCGTGGTCCGTGCTTGCTCCGTCCGTGCTTGCTCCGTGCTTGCTCACAGCAGGGCACCACGGCACAGAGGCTCTTTCGCGTGGCTCGTTCAACGAGTGTTCCTACGAGTTTACGACTTGTACCGTTTTACCGTAAGCTTGCATGGTTACGGCGCCGCATACGCTCGCTGGGTGGGCACACTGGTCAGGCGTTTTAACAAGTGCACCCAACGGAACTATTTCCATTTGCTGGAATATCTGCATCTTTGGGGTTCACTCGTTCGCTTTTCCTTCACAAGCATTACTGAATTTACGGACGTCACGTTACCAATGCGGAGTACGTACCTTGTTCTTCACAAGGAAGCTTCGCTTGTTTATCCACTCAAGCTTCCCTGCGCGCCACGAAGAGCAGAAGAGCGAGTCGGGATGGAAAGGAGTGGAAGGGAGTGAAAGGGGGTTGAGGAGATTTGAGGGAAAACTTGGAACGGACACACGAAATTCATTCAACACCCAGGCTCACGACACAGTAGCGCCATAAGATAAAGATGGGAAATCTTGAGGCGTCTAAAGAATCAGCACCGGAGGCCCGTAAGGATGTGTAGAAGTGGATAGGAGAGGAATGACACTAGTCTGGCTGCCACTCACGGGCGTGACAAACGAGAGCACTAGTGCCCAAGCGCGCTTCGCGCCTCCCAACTCGCGCCTCGTAAATCTCGCGCCTCACAGCAAACGAGGAACCACGCACCTGAAGTCTTCGTCTCAGTAGCTGCCGACGCCACCACCAGCAGCGGCCTCGCCGCCACTGATCGTCTACTTGCCACACGCGGGGCGCTAGCGATTCGGAAAGGCGCGATGCCAAGATGTGGCCGAACGGACGTGGCCAGTCTGCGATATCAAGGGGAATTGGCATGCGGTGACGGAAATAAGGCTTGCTATTGAACCAACGACGAGGTAAGGTGAAAAGCATAGGGAAATCGCAGCAAGGCGACACTCAGAACAGGAACAAAAATCGAAGCAGAAAAAGTTACCTCGCTGCGCGAACGTGTTCATGGGAAGCCGTGATGCCAGAAGCGGTGGGTAGATAACAAGAAACTGAAGCCATGACCTGAAGCTAAGTGCACATACAGGAACAATGCGGCCAACGCAAGTTTTTCGGACTAGTAATGAGAACAATTGCAGGACGAAAGATTAACTACAGAGTTTTCGAGAGAACAGGAGCAGAGCGGAGTTTCTATGCGAGGAATTTGGACATGTGCTCACACCAAAGCTTCCCCCTGTTCTCTGAAGAAGGCGCGGAACATCACGGGTTGCAATTTGCCAGCAAACGAAACTAGATTTTGATGTTACCTATCGTCGTCACAAGAGAATTAGGTCTCGTCGGGCTCTGTAACCCGCCCGACATTCTCAAGACTATCCCCGTTCCGAAATAGGTGTATATAACTCGAAGTCGAATCTTACGCTTACCACGTGGCAGGGTATCACTGCTTGGAAGCGCGACTCGCCCCTAAGGGTACAGCACAATGAACCTCGAAGATTTGCCAGCTAACTTCGGGTGCTGTGAGTGGAGAAAATGAGCATTAGATCCACGTGTCGGGAAAGTACGGATGACACATATCAATGCTTGCCTCGAAAATCTGCGGAAAGTTCTCCACATAAAAGAATATAAGCTCTTCATCAAAGCGTGTACTACACCACTGGTAGCTCTCAATGAGCTATAGAGCAGTTTAAATCCTGTACGACCCATGAGGTAACAAATCAAGAGCAGCCTATTCACAAGGCCTGATTTCTTCCATCTTGCAATAAGATAGTATGGTACGATTTTGGGTTGACCAACGTGTAGCAGTCGCTACCATTTGCCACATAGAGCATCTAGCTTTCAGCACAGGCACTTTTACGGCAGAATCTAGGAAAGGTAAAGCACGCCCCGTTGTCCTCTCACGTAACTGGGACATCCACTGCAAAGGCTTGCATTCCCAGAATGTACCTACCAGCAACTTAACAAAACGGTGTGGTACACTCCTGTTCTGTGATGTCCCTAAGCGATGAGCTTGCCTCAGACCATTCGGCTCTTACAGTAACACTCACTTAGGAGCATTTGTTTTATTGTGGCTGGCCAAGCCAAGAATGATGGCAAAAATATGTTAAAGTTTTCAGCATATTGGAGCAACCCTGTCCACCTGCTGCAGCTGCTGCTGCTCCTTCCACTTGACCAGCTTCTGCAGAAACTCCATCACCTGGTGTGGCAGTACGGACAAAGAGAGAGAGGGAGAGGAGAGTGAGGAGGGAGACGGGCGAGAGGCGGGAGGGACGGGAGGGAGAGGACGGACACGATATACAGAAAGTTGCCTATTTGCGATTGGTAAACTTACCAGTCAATTTTTACTGCCACACAAAAACAGAGACAGAAGGCCCCTTCAAATGACGGGGCGGCCTGATGTGCACAGCATGCGAGGGCAAGACATGATTCTTGTAAAGTCCCACAACATTTGTCCCAGCACTCCATCAATCCCAACCCTACCACACCCTTCCCACCCCTCTCCACCGCTCCACCCTAGCGCACCCCGCCCCACCACAGCAGTGCCCACCACTCCCCACCCCTCCCTGCACGGTGTGCTTCACCTCAGAGGGGTCTCTAAGAGAGAAAGTGGCAGCAGAGGGCTTGGGTGCTGCTGACACTATGATGCCACACCCCGACCCCCGCTCCTGTAGCATCTGGTGCACGGGGGGAAGAGAGGAGGTGGGGGGAAAGGGGGGAGATGAGGGGGATGGGATGATAGGGGGAGACAGGGGGAGAGATGGGGGGAAAAGGGGAAATATGGCACATGGCTTGGGGGGGAGGAGGGGGGGCGAGAGTAAATGACGAGGGTTCCGAGGCAGTTTCCCTGTCGAAATCACCCCCACCCCGCTACAACCAAAAGCGGGAAACTTTGGGAGCAGGGGCGGAAGGTGCCGACGGTAAATGACACATTTACCTGCACAATTTCGCGCCCAATAGGCAGGGGTATATCGAATCCATCGAACCCACAGAGGAGGGTAAAAGTTTGCACGAGGGGGTTCATCTGTGAAAAAACGAAATACAAACCTCTCGGCTGTGAGAGGCAGGCTAGGGTTTGGTCTGTTCGAGCAAGATGGTTGGACCTTTTTTTCATCGAGCGGGTTGTGCTTTACTGCGTGGGTTTCGCGCAGCATTTGTGCATGCTTTTCTAGGGTAGAAGATGGGTGTCCCCACCCCCTGTACATCCCTCCCATGTCTCTCGTCACGCCCTGAAAAAGCGGGTTCCGTAGGGCGGGTCGAGTGACTTGACTTTTGCCAGAGGAGGAAGGTGGAGAGGGGACATAGGCAGCTTCCGATGGGCCAAAACCCACGAGGTAAATGGCTGTTCTGTAGCCATTTCCCCCCGAACAGGTTCGGAGGGGAAATGGCTGGCTCGGCAACGTTTTGCGGGCTGACCGCCTTCCGAACCCAAAAAACGCAGTGGGGGGAAGCTACCTATTTCCCCTCGCCCCCCCACCGCCAGGGCCTACAGAACAGAGCCATTCTGTTTGAAGGGGAGCGCAGCAACTAAGAGGAGACATCCCATGTGGCAGGCAGGCACCAGCATGCTAGGTGGCAGCGCAGGCAAGAGCAAGGCAAGGCAGCGCAGCGATGTAAGAGCGCACGCACCTTAAAGGCGTCCTCATCGGTGCGGTCATCCCCAATGTACACCGGCAGCACTGAGTCGTCCCCACTCAGCCCTGCCACACATGATGCCGCGGGCAGGGGCGTGATGGCAGGGGATGCATGGGGTGAAAAGGAGGACAGGAGGGGAGAGGAGATGAGAGGACGAAGAGGTTGGTTGGGACGGCATTTTCAAGAAAGGGCGGTGACGAGAGGGTTGAAGGGAGAGGGAGGGTGAGGGGAAGGGGATGGAGGGAGCCAGATGGTTGAGTCTGTCAGATGAGATTAGTCGAGGGACTGTTGAGAAGCTAATGAAACGAAATGAAAGAGGGCGGAGGTGAAAATCGATGCATGTACGAGCAAAGAAACGTCGATACTGGGGAACGGGCTGAAAGCAAGGGAGAGCAAGGGAAGGGGCTGGCAAGGGAGAAGGCAGGAGTTACCAAGGGTGGTGAGAAGGTAGGCGACGGCCTTGCCCTTGTCCCAGTCCACCACTGGCCGGATCTCCAACACCTGTTGCCCCGCGGCATGTGTGCCGGTGTCGTGCGTGTGTGGGATGGGATGAATGGCAATGCACGTGGCAAGGAGAGGAGTGGAGTGGGGAGGAGAGGGGGTGAAAGTTGCAGGTTTTGTAAGAGGGCGGGGAGATTGTAGAGTGCAAGAGTACCGAGACCTTGTGGGTGAGACTGTGTGCGCTGTGAGTGGATGGTGCAGTCAGAGCATGAGCATGAGCATGAGCATGAGCATGGGCCCATGCTCATGAGCATGGGTGAAATAGCATGCTTCTGGATGATAGGGAAGGAACGCTAACACAACCACCACAGCCCCCCTACTGCCGTGCCGTGCTTCTCCTTTCGCCACAGTGCAGTCAACGCAATCAATTCAATCAGCCCAGTCAGCGCAGTCAATGCAGGCAACTGGTTCCGGAGCGGCGGTTGCTGTGTGTGGTGTTGCAGTCCACCCGGAGGCCCGGCCCACCTTCCTGCCATGGCTGGTGCGCAGCTCTGGGTGCTGTGCCACGACTTGCGTCACCACCTCCGCCTGCTGCTCCCATAGCTGCCGTGCCATGCCATGCCATGCCATCCACCATTGCACCAACGCCACCGCCGCCATTGTCCCCATGCGAACGGAAGGGAACCGCCACCATTGTTCCGATGCCAGCACAGCAGACCACATGACAGAAGGGGGATGGAACGGAACAGTGGACAGATGAGGGCGTGGCATGTAAGGGCCCTCTGAAGGGAGGGCAGCACGGGGAGCAATGGGCTGGTCACAGCAGTGCGTGATTATCAGCACATCAGCAAGAGCCATGCACGAGCGGTGCGAGTGGGGGCAAGGTGTGTTGTTGAGTGTTGAGGAGGTCAGAACTCATAGAGACTGTTCAACGCATGTGGACTGGTGAATCCTACTGAGAAGCAGCGTCTCCTGCTGTGGGGCACTGCGATATGTTTTCAAACCAACCATCCCCCTCTTCCCTCCCCTCCCCTCCCGTCTCACCCCCACCGTTCAGGCGTACCGCATACAAAAACAAACACACTGATTCAGGTGCACACGCACACACACACCCGCCCACACATCCCCATACAAACACATACCCGCCCCCTCCCTCCTCCCTTCTCCCCCAACCCACGCACCCATGTCTGTGTACGAATGTGTGCGTGCACACGGCACACGCCCAACCCGTTCCCTCACCTCCTCAGGCACGCGCCTGAAATGCACGCTGACACAGAACTTGTTGTTCTCCACGTGCGCCCCCTGCACCGCTTTCAACCGCTCCCTCAGCTCATCGCACACCTGCGCACCACTCCAAACCACACACCACCACACAGAATCGTGTTGGTGAGGACGGCGGTACGCCCCATGCCCATGCCCATGCCCCATGCCCCATACCCCATGCCCCATGCCCCATGCTCCATGCCCCATGCCCCATGCCCATGCCCCGTGCCCCATGCCCCATGCCCATGCCCCATGCCCCATGCACCCTGCCCCATGCCCCATGCCCCATGCCCCATGCCCCATGCCCCATGCCCATGCCCATGCCCATGCCCATGCCCGTGCCCGTGCCCATGCCCCATGCACCCTGCCCCATGCCCCATGCCCCATGCCCCATGCCCCATGCCCCATGCCCCATGCCCATGCCCCGTGCCCCGTGCCCCATGCCCATGCCCCCTGCCCCATACCCCAAGCCCCCTGCCCTGTGGCCCCTGTCCCATGACTCCATGTCTCATGCCCTGCATCCCATGCTGATGTGGCAACCCACCTGGCTACCAAAATACCAATTGCAAGCACGATTTTGATTCAGCTTTCAAACGAAACCTCGGCGACACAATCCCTAAAACACACTAAACCAAAGAACGCTTGTGCAAAAAATCCACTACACTCACATTCTCACCAGCCAGGTCAATTCGAGTTTCGAGACGTCTCGAATTTCTCGACCGGCTGAATCGAATCCGATCCGACCGTTCGCACCTGATTCATGAGGCCTGCGAACCGGCTGGCGGGTTGAAACAGCACCACTTGATGCCCCTTCTCGTCCACGCTCTGCGCCCCCTGCACGCGCACGCCCTTGCTCCCGCCTCCGTTCCCCCTTCTGCCATCTTCCCCTGCGCCTGCCCCGTCCCCTTCCGCGTCCCCGCCCTCTTCCCCTTCTCCGTTCGCCTCTCCCTCCTCTCCCTTTTTGCACGCGGGCAGCATGATGTCCATTCCGTGGCTGCCCGCGTAGTAAAGCTCGGGCAGCTGAACGAACGAGAGCACCTTCTCGCGCCCGCGCCCGCTGATGATCGCCGCGGGGAAATGCGCCGCCACGCCGCGCACTGCCGCGCGCATCTGACACGAGGAAAGGGCGCGGAAAAGGAGGGGGGAGGCCCGCGTTAGGGTTGGGGAGGCGGCGGTAAAGCGGGGAAAGGGGAGGCGAGAGGGTAGAATATGGGTGGGGAAGGGTGGGAGAGGGGACGGGAGGGAGATTTAACGAGATAGGAGAGTGAGCAGGTGAAGGAAGAAGAGCGCGGCTTAGAAGCAAGGAAAGGAGATGAGGTGGTTCAGATGCGTTCGGAAACACATGCAAGGGTGCGGCATTCCATGCACGCTAAAAGTGAAGGGGAGTGGAAGGGGAAAAGGGGAAAGAGGCGGGAAAGAGCGGGGGGGAGAGCGATTGGGGGGACAGCCAGTCCGTCAGTCCGTCCGCCAGCCTTTCAGTCCGCCAGCCCGCCTGTGCCCCCATCCGCCTGTCAGCGCTGACGCGACGAGCCGCAAAGGCAAGAGAGTTCGCGATCAAGCATGGCCTTCTGCTGCGGCGTCGTACCGCGGAGCTCATATAGGCCTTATCGGGGTCGTCCACTATCGGGGACAGCGTTCCGTCGTAATCGAGGAACACCGCGACCTGCCGCCCCTCCATTAGCGCCGCTAGGCGGTCGAAACTCACGAGCGCGGAAGGGTGCTTCAGCTGCGGGGAGACAGGGGGGGAGGAGGAGGAGCGGAGGACGGCGGAGAGGCGCGAGGACAAGGGGAGGAGAGAAGGGGAGGACGGGAAGGGGGGAACCACTGAATGGGCGGAAGACGTGAAACGCGGATGATTTGTTAACAGAGAAACGGGTGATTGCACGCGCCCAGCTGGGACGAAGGGCCGGCGAGAGGCGAAACGAGGAGGTCTGAAGCAAGTATGATGAGCGGAGAGGGGAGAAACAAGGAGGGAGAGGGGTATGGGGGAGGCAACGCCGACGGCAGGGAATTGGCGGAAAGCAGATAGCTCACCATCCATGCATCGTATTGAGCCGCTTTCAACCGCTCTACATCTACCACCACTCCGTTTCCCACCATCACCACTCCCCCTCCCTCTGCTTCGTTCCCCAGCTCCCCCGCTCCCCCCCGATCCCCTCCGCCGACCTGCTCCGAACCCGCGCTGTGGCGCAGCAGCGCGTCGTCTGAGCAGGAAGCGCGCGGGGGGGAAAGAGCGCGCATTTCCGCCAGGCAGGTGCTGCTGGCTGCGCCATGCCCGAGCGCGGACAACCGCTGCTGGAGGCGGGATGGCACCGTGGGCGGAAGCGCGGGAACGGGATCGGCGCGATCGGCGGAGGGAGCTACGGCGGGTGGAAGGGCAGCGGAGATGATTGGCATGGCGGCCAGTGCGGGGCAGTGGTGTGGGGCGGGGGAGGGGGTGACTAGCGGCAAGGGGTCTGGGATATCCCCCATAATACAAATGAGAATATAACACAGGAGAATGGAGTGGATACGACCAGGCGTAAAAAGAGCCGTGCACGGAGGTCTGAGGTGGAAACGAGGGTAGGGTGGCCTTAATTAGCGAGTAAAACGCGGGTTCGGCTGTCGCAGAATAGCCCGCGCACTGCTCCGGCGGCCCTTTCGCGCTATTACTAAGGACAATGGGTGCGTGTTTGGTGGCCGCCGCTCGATATGCTTGCGCACCGACTAGCTGTAATGGGAGCAGGACCAGCTGAGTGAGGTCGCATGCGCGAGGGTCATAGGCTGTGTGCTGCGGACCGAAACAGCGAAGAGTGCGCTGTGAAAACTTGCCTGTGCTTGTCTACGCAACGAGCAAGTGTGTGGTGGGGCGCATCGGCAGCATCTTTTCACGACAAATGGCGGGTCAGCGCAAGTGTGAGGCAGTGACCGATAACTCAAGTGTGCACACACTCTAGTGGAATACAGCTGATGCTCACCCCATGCACGCGAATTTGCCTTGCGCCGGATGGATACGCTGCACCCGAGGTTGTTTCCCCAGCTTCATGCACCTACATTACAAGCGCGTCGCGTGGTTATCAACCAGTAGTAACGAACAGACCGACGTCAAACTAGGTACAGACCGAAGTCAAGCAGAGGAGACTGAAGTCAAACTAGGTTACAGATCTTGTTTATAAGCACATGCGAATCATTTTTAGCTAGCTGCGAATTGCCGAAACTTATGCGAAATGCTCGTGACAGCTTATACGCCCCCTTCGTAAGGCAACCGGGAGGGGCTCAAACAGGCATCAGGTGTAGACATGGACGCGCATTGGTCGTCCCGGCACAGCGGAACTAACGACAAGGGTAGAACGTCCGAAGCGATGGTGACATTGGTGTGTTCTCACCAGACACCCGTGCTGCAATATAATCTGGAGGAAAGGTCAGCAAGAACGCCTTTGCCCGATCATCCTGCCTGACATTTGCACTGCAATTCCAACCGAACCTGCGTGGTGGGGTAGCGAGTCTGGGTCTTTAGAGGAAACAATTGAAGTTGATTAAGGAGTAATTCTGAGAATAACTCAACGTGTTACATTTAATACTAGTTTACAATGCTTAAGCGTGACAATTTTTTACGGCAGTCGCAAGTCAGGTTGAATGTGAAAAGACCATAGTCATCACATCGTTTTCCTCTAAGTGCGGTATGATAAGACGATCCCTGGTGTCGTTCCTTGCAATGCCTTCCAAGACTGGCGAATGTACCGAGATCCGGGGTAAGGCACGAGTGGTTGGAGGAGGTTGTGCGGGATCTGACAATTCTGTAGCAGCTGAACTGTTGAGGGAGAATTGCAGACTGCCCAGGAAAGAAAGGAGTACGTGTGCTGGAGCACCACCGTGAGGGGTGAATTGGCGGGAAGACAAAAAGAAATGGCTGGATAACTGTCCCACTTCAGCGTGATTGGCGTAAAGGTTGGGTTGAAGGAAATGGTTGTGTGGAAGTTGATGTGGAGAGCGGCAAAATGCGCTTCGGGATTCGCAGAGGGGTTGTGGCTGCTAGTAGTCGTCATTTCTGTAACCATGAAGTCGCTCAGCTCGCAAAGCATCGTAAGCCCTTTGTCCTACGACAAGTCAGAAGCGGATGAGGTGAGGTGGGACGGTGCGACCGCGTCTTGGTACACTCGTTGAGGTGTCGCTGATTTGGGACCAGTAGTTGCGAAATTTGCTGAGGTGGCGACAGGTCAGCGAACACGCAGAAATTGGATGGGTCTCGATAGCCAATCTGAAACGGATGAGATGTACGCCATGTGGGATGACAGAGGACACTGGCTGGATAACGCCTGACACAATTATTACTGCTCTGTCATCATCGGCTCCCTTTTACAGAACAAACATGTTCTTTCAGCTACACTCTGCTTTGAAATTGATCATCATCAGATTCCTACGTCTTTCTACTAAACAAGCTAAGTTGTAAGATGTGATGTTTAACCATTCAATTTTATTTCTAATTTGTCATCCTTTGCTTGAGTATAATCTATTCCGAATGGCTATGGGACAGGCCTGCTTTTGGGATGGGCTGTTGGGACGGGCCTGCTTTTTGAAGTGGCTGTTGGGACGGGCCTGCTTTTCAAAGTTGTGAACTATAAGTAATGGATGAAAAGTGCTACACTTTTTTCTCGATAATTGCACACCTCCTACTCCTTTTTTTCCTGGGTACCCTTCACGCGATTTGACGTGATGCGACGGACACCCAGAAATTGAGGGACTATTAGTAAACAACGAAATGGACGGAATCCTAGAAAGAAACTCGCACTTAATGGTTGAGTTCAGGCCTACAGTTCGCGAGTACGTCGGATCCTCCTCCGCGGTTTTCAACTTCCGTTGAAAACTACCCTACGAAAATGATGGACATAGGGTAAATACCCCAAGGTGTGCGATTAAGCCGTGTGAAATAATTGAGAACAGGATGTATTGCGAGTTGCAGCTTCCCCCTACTAGGGTTCAGACACTTCGCGAAATAGGCAAAGCGGCCGAACCACACCCAAGCCTACCAAACCTCTCTGACAGGTTTTGGGAGCGCCGGCACATCTCCGCCACGATTCTGCGCGAGTGCCCCCTGCCTCTGCAAAACCGAGCCCAATCAGCCCACACCACAACCCCACCCTCCGCAGCGTGCGCGCGCACACATCCGCCCAACTCATCCCATCCCACCCTTCACTACTGTATTCACTTCAACACGCATCTCATCACTCCCTTTTCACTCTTCCGAACCGAACGCAACTGTAGCTCGCTCTCCCGCCCACAAAGGTCGCGATCAGCGGAGATGCGGGAAACACGACCGCATTTTGCGGATCCCTGCTGGGCATTCGCTGTTGCACGCTGGAGTGTCGTAGGGGGTTAGGAGATGGGGGGCTCGTAGGCCTGTTTACACGGCATACGCACTCCACGCTCGTGTTAATCCACGCATAGTCCGCCCATAGTACGACGTCGCCACTCACGCCACCACTCACGCTACCACCGCCACCACTCACAGCACCGCCCACAGCACAAGTCACGGCGCCAGTCGTACTATTTGGTTGTCGCCCTTGTGTCGTCCTTGCCCCTTCGTCATTTTTTCGCGTCGCCGTCGCTCATTCGCTTTCGTCAATCCACCGCCGCAGCGAGTGAGCAACGACGAAGGAGGGAGTGAGCGGAACGAGTGAATACAACGCAACGCTATGGGAAACCAGGCTAGCATCGTCAATTCCATGGCAGACAAAATATTTCCCAAGCTGCCCGACGAGAGCGGGCAGCAGCAGCAGTCCGCACAGCAGCATCCGCCTTTAATCCCCCCCCCAGCCGACATACTCAGTGGCGCTGCTGCGGCGGCGGCGCAAGCGGCGGCGGCGGCAGCAGCTTCAGTTCCACCTGTTCCCGCGCTCTCCTCCATTTCCGCCTCTCTCGCCACCCTTGCGCGCGCCCGAAGCTCTTCCGCCTCCGCCTGGAACAGCAGCGCCGCTGGCGGAACTCCGGACGGCGGAGGGCGCGGCAGCGGCCGGTGGACCAACGGGATTGGGGGAAGCGGACTAGGCGGAGGTTGGGGGGGGGCATTGGGCGCGGGGGCGTTGGGAGGAATCGGGTTCATCAGCGGGGGTGTGTTCGGGGGCGGGGGAGGAGCGGGAAAGGCGGAGGGGGGAACAAGTATGGGCGGGAAATTTTGGTCGTCCGCTGCATCGGCCGCGGCTGCCGCCGTAAATCACGCCGCAGGCAACGCTGACGGCGGCGGAAGCGGCAGCAACGATGGGGGCAGCGCAGCAG